TAGATGCATTTCAATATAAAGATGGATCAGATTCAGTCTAAGTCCAAGTGTGTTTCGTTTTCTACAACGCGTACTTGAATTTGTATAGGTGTTTCCAGCATGGACTGAGAAATAATTAATATTGCCACCGTCACATTGCATTAGTCAAACCTTGACGTCTTTGTGTTTTTTTCCTTTGTGATTCCCACTCTCCTTCTCTCCACGCCCTTAAACATCACTAGTTGATTCCACTCTTATTACTATGATACATGTGATAAATAAGTTTGGGTAAAACATGCACGATTAGGGTCTAAACCCATTATCCTCATCCCAAATATAATTTCTAATCCTCTCTCTCACAGAAGGTGTGCACGGCTCTACAAACTTGACTTTAATACCATGGTAAACGAGATAAGCTAGTTCAAGAGAGGAGTGAGTATAACCACATATATACATCATAACAATCTATTAAATAAACAATGTAGGAGAATCCAAGTTCATTATTGTCTAGATAATAATGAATAATAATGAACTTGGATTCATTATTATCTAGACAATAATGAACAAGGAGAGAATCCAAGTTCATTATTGCCTAGATATTAAAGCTTCTTAATTAAATTTAAAACTTGCTTAAAGAAGCTTATATCAATTAATATAAGGTCTCAAAATAAATAATGTAGAACAAATATAACTTCTAATAATATGTAATTTCAAAGTCTAGTAAAGTTTAAACAAGGAGAGAATCCAAGTTCATTATTGTCTAGATATTAAAGCTTCTTAATTAAATTTAAAACTTGCTTAAAGAAGCTTATATCAATTAATATAAGGTCTCAAAATATATAAAAATATATTGAAAATGGTAGCGCGTAATTGTTGCATTACCTCATGGCGGTCATGCATTGACAAATCTCAATCCATATGGCTTTGTCAACTCAAGACAAAACGTTGATTTTCATATGTTACATCTCAATCCCCATCTTCTCCCGTATAAATTACCTCCCTCGCCACCCCCACAAACCCCATCACTAAACTCAAATCTTCTCTCTGCATTTTCCGTCAAAATCTTCATAAAACACACACAAACCTCCATTAATGGCGAAACCTATATTAATTTTTCTCTTCTTTATATTATTATCCCACTCTTCTTTATCATCAGCTAGGCCACTTCATGACTTCATGTTACAAAACATTGGTAGTGGAGAACCTGCAGCAGCAGCAGCAGCCTTCAGTATTGCTCTTCCTAGCGACAAAGTTAACAGCTTAGAGAAAGAAGATGATGCAAATAATGGTGAAGTTAGTAAAGTACCAAGCCATGGCAAGGCTCCCGAAACGAATATGAAGAACTCGGAAAAGGGAATTTCGGTGTCAACTCCGAGAATTTCTGGGAAATATCAGCCGTTGGTTTTGAATATTCTTCCGAAGGGGACAGTGCCACCATCGGGGCCAAGCAAGGGAACCAACGATGTGAACAATTAAACGAAGATTAATTATTTAAGTGTTAATTAGCTTAATTAATTAATTATTATAATTCTTTTAGTACATTTTTGCTTCCTTGATTTTGTGTTTTTTCTTTGTGGTTGATCTTCATGTGTAAATACCCATTATAGAATTAGTTATAGGATAATTTCTTATGATAGAGAGTTGATTTCATTTCAATTTCTTGTTTAATCATTTGATTATTATTATATGATTATATATCAAATTATATATGAATGGAAGTGTGTTGTTCAGAGATATCATATGATATAACAGCACAAACTTCATGTGCTATTAAAAAAATGTTAAAAGATATATAATACACATTGTTTTAAAACCCGAACCAGGGGGGGAACCCGTTTTGTTGTCCGAGTCACAGGCCAACCGGTTGAATCGGTTGGATCGATGACATCAGCGATAATTTTATTTTTTAAAAGTTACTATTATCCCTCAAATTTTAGTATATTACGAAATTCCCCAAAAAAAGTTCAAATAAGTCTCTTAAATATTTATTTATTTGAAAAATACCCCCAAAAAAGCACCAATTAATCCCTAAACTTTTGATATATCTCTAAAACACCCCTATAAAATTACAATTAACCCTTATAATTTTGAAATATTACAAAAACCCCTCTAAGACCTGAACTGGACCGGAGAAGTTGCCGGGTCCTAGTCTGACTGGTCTGATCCGGTTTTTAAAATAGAGATAATACAAACACTAATCAAACTTGCGGCTCTTCCATCGCGGGATTTACTAATGACACGTGCCTTTGTTTACGCATAGGACGCTCTAACTCAGATTTTGACGTGGAGGCATTAATCATAATCTAAAGCACAGTAACTTTGCGCCACTTACTAAGACTAATGTTTGATCTCCTTAATTTGATTATATTTCATGAAATATTTATCCAATAAGAATTTTTATCCTCCACAAGTCATCTTCACGGATAATTGATGTAGCTTTACAAAAAGGCAATTAATTTAATATGTTTCACCAAATTAAGAAGGTATCCCTATTCCCTTGAGCTAGAATATTATAATGCAGTTTATAATTTTAACCAAATCGTATAAAAGGTCAAAAAAAAAAAAAAAAAAAAATCAACTAATTTGATTAAGATAAGCATGAATCAGAAACTAATTATTTAATTACATATAGCCAATTAATTTGGTATTAGGTTGCTTTAGGGTTTGTTTATTTGAAAATTGTGTAAGTGGAGTTTTCGCCCACCTGTACTTCTTGACCATACCCATTTCTTTAATTTAATTAAATTTCAACGGTAAGACTTTTTTAATTTTTGTCACTATCATATGGTGGAAATATTTTATAATATGATCATAACATTTCACCTAAAACATTTACTTATAGTCACCCCATCACTCAAGTTCACTTTGAATTTACAACCTTGATATAATCATTTCTAAAGTCTTTCAAAGTCTCAACGTTAGGTTTAAAACAACAAAATAATAAAATAGAGACTATAAATAGTTTCGTTAATATGTGAAGAGACTTCACTAGTTAACATAAAATCATGCAAAATTCTTTTAAATTAACTATGCCTAACCTCAATTATATATATATAATGTTGATTATGAAAAATAATAAAATTAGCAATCTTATAAGCAAGACTACATAGCACATAATGAGACATTGACAAGCATGGTCTTGGACAGTTGGACTTGGACCATTTAATTATTTTTGGGGAGTTCAAGTGGTAGGATAAGTGTTAAGATGTGCCGTTAGAACACATAGTCTCAGGTTTGAATTCTTTGGGTTTCCAAAATTTAAACAAGTGATTATGGTGGTGGGATGCCCTATTAGTCACCTGCAGAGATTAGTTAAGGTATGCACAAGCTAACCCTAACACCTTATTTTAAAAAAAAAAAAAAGTAATACATATTATATTTAAGTATTTATTTTATATGTTATTTTTCCAATTCCCATCTTTTTTAGTGAATATAAAGTTTTCACATAAAAATAAATTGAAATCTTGATAATAAAAGCCGTCATGTATTATTTATTAATAAATCTATAAAATTATTATTGTTTGAAGATTGTTGTTTTTACTATATATAAAATTAATTAAATGCAAATTTGAATGTTAAAATTTTACCCCTAACTTTTAACAAATGAAAAAGAAGACAAAAATTAAGCTACACTCATTTTAGACTTGGACAACTTTTGACGGCCCATTGGTCCAAAACAGCCCAATAATGTAATTGGGCTTCTAACGGCCCACAAAGAGCCCAACATGTAATTGGGCTTTTTCAGTAGTTTCAATAAATTTGAGGAGTTTTATCCCGTCTCCCTCTTGAAGTTTCCGTTCTGTAAATTATCAAGCACCCCCTCTTCCTCTTTTTTAAGTGGTACGTGAACTATGTTCTGAACGTCATGAGACAGTCCGGTCTATATATATCAGTTATCGTATCCACGATAAACATTGAATAGTCAAGTGCAAAACAGACAACCGCTAAAAACATCTAAATAATAAGCCCACCCCAAAATAAGTGTACTCCTATTTCGACACCTTCTTTTTTTTTTTTTTTTTTTTTTTTTTTTTTGGGTTAATTCTACTATGGAAAGGAAAAGGTTGACAATATGCAAATCTGCCCCAAAAAGAAAATAGAGTAAAGATGACGAAGATAAAGATAGAATGAGATAATGTTTTCAATAAACAATTTTGAACGTGAAAAGCAAACAGGATTACGTGTCCCACTCATGGTAACGCCTTTTACTTTTAGAAATAATTCAGTCAAAATATCAAATCAGACAATTAGAATCTATTAAATCAGACACTTTAACAAGCAAGCTTAAGAAAAGGCTAAATGTGGACATGTACTTAGCAAGGCATGGGGCACATTAAGAAATCAAGTCTGATTATTTGAAAATCGACCAATATTCCCTTTTATTTTTGCATATTAATTAATTATGGTTTAATCAAGTAAATATAAATGCTCGAAGATGTTTCGACTTATATTCTACTAATGTAATTTCCATTACAGATAGAAAAATGTTTTTAACTGCGGATCTATTCAATGCAAAAATCAGACATATAATTAATGTAGGTACTTTTGTCTCCATAATACGATACGTCGCTCAAATTAAAGTTATAAAACAAATAACTGGCAAATTAAAATTGAAATTGACCTAATTTACAAAATTAAATTTGCATACACATACGTTGTTCAATGAAAACTCAAACCTTATAAATTTCAAACTCTTTTCGCTAATGATATTATCACTCACTAAAAACAATTTTGTATGCATAAATTCATAAAACTTGATAAAATCTTATAGAATCACAAAACGGGTAAATTTTATCAACTCTTATCGGTTTTTTTTGCATATATTTGCATTGATATTAAATAAAATTGAATTGAATTTTATTTTAAGAAAAAAACTCTTGAATTTTGGCATTATTTTAGACAGAATAGAGAATATCCTTTGCGTAGATACATCTATTATCATTATCCACTTAATTAAAAAAAATGACTCAAATCTAATCACTTAATTAAGCTAACAGGATATTGTTGCTGACCTGTCATACTAAAATCCAGACAAAACAAGAGATTAACTTCCAAGTTTTCTTGTCTCTCTGTTAAGTGTTGTTGAGTTCTCAGTTCTGTTCTTCACGTGTTATATAATCCAACTTACCACAACTACCGAAGAAATCGATGGCAAAGATGAAAGTTTTCGTTTTTACGCTAATTTGGTGCCTGCTGCATGTGGGAATCGAAGGAAGAGTTGTGAATTTGTTGCAAAGTTTTGATGGACCCAGAATTAGCTACGGGTTTAGCAACTCATTTAATCGCATTTTTGATACTTCCAAGTATGGTATTCTTCAACTGAACAACGGCTTGGCTCAAACTCCTCAAATGGGGTCAGTTTTTCTTTTTTTCTTTTTCTCTTATCTTCTGTTATGCTAGTTTTAAATTTGAAGGATTGTGTTTATTTTATGTTTAATCAAAGACTATACATAGATATCATGTGATGAAGAGGTGCTTTTGAGAGGAATTTAGAGTTTTTGGTGAAGTTTTTAAGGGTAGTGTTGAGAGTCAGTGTGTGCTTAAGTGTTGAATGATTGTGCTTTTTGAGGAAAAAAGTAGGTGATTTGTTTTGTGAGTCTATTGCAGGTGGAATAGCTGGAATTTCTTTGCTTGCAATATCAACGAAACAGTCATCAAAGAAACAGGTATTGTTTTGGTGGATCATCTGCTTTGTTTGCTTTTGCTTTTGCTTTTCATTGGTGTTGACTCGTTGGGCTGAAACATTACTTTGTTAGTTGCTTCACTTAGAAATCCATTAGAAGTACTTACGTTATAATTCTTTGACGACAGCTGATGCTCTTATCTCAACTGGATTGGCTGATTTAGGCTATGTATATGTCAATATAGGTAATCTCTGGCATGTTTTAAGTCTTTGCTTTTACTTTTGTTTTCTTATGTTTTGTACTAATTTATCTAAAAAAACTGAATTTAGATGATTGCTGGTCTGCCGCAAAACGGGATTCAGAGGTCAGTTGAGTCCTATAACTTTCAATGCAAAAAGTATCACAAATCACAACCTTTATGATTTGTATAATCGATAATTGATATTGTGGTTGATTGAGAATACCATATCTTTCTTATCAGTAATCATGCATTCCATTAGACTGCTTTTATATCATTTAACTTGTTAATGGATTACCTGCTTTTGGTGGTATAAATAAAACTCAATTCTGAGGATAATACCTAAAATCTGTTCTGTCTCTTTGTTTAGCTACTTTCTATATGAAATTGTTTGTTCAAGAAATCATAAGCATTTAACAATGTCAAGTTACTACATAATTCTTTTCTGTGGGTTGTTTGTTGGTGCAGGGTCAATTGGTACCTGATCCAAAAACTTTCCCATCAGGAATCAAAGCTCTCGCTGATTATATTCATGGGAAGGGCCTCAAGCTTGGTATTTATTCAGATGCTGGGTAGGATGAGATTTCAATCACTTAGACTTAGTTAGAATCTTTCAAGCTAAAAATAATGAGATCATCAGTTATCTTTAAACAAGTGCTGCCTTTTCAATCTCCTTCAAACTCTTCTTGATCCAACCAATTGTGTCTTGTAGGGAGTTTACATGTCAAGTTCGACCCGGATCTATTTACCATGAAAAAGATGATGCAGCTTTATTTGCTTCTTGGGTTAGTCTCTGTTGCTCGTACTATTTATTGGTGAAATTTTATTAAAGACTTGAAAGTATTTGATAACAGAGTCACTATTAATACAACTTGTGGATAAGTAGTTGAAATCAGATTCATAGCTTAATATGAATCAACCTTTCATGAAAGGGTTTCATCTATTTCTTAGAATAATTTTGTAGTTTGCTGGTAAATGGATCTATCTCAATTGCTTTTACTGAGTCCTGTTTGTTGCTTACCAGGGTGTGGATTATTTGAAGTATGACAACTGTTTCAATCTGGGCATAAAGCCACAAGAAAGGTTCATATCATTTTGTCATATTTGTGCTGGGAGAAGATCATTAATTGATAGCTTTAAACTGACTTGTTGTAGTTCCATAATTTGCAGATACCCACCGATGCGTGATGCTTTAAATGCAACTGGGCGCACGATTTTCTATTCACTTTGTGAATGGTAATATGCTTTCTTGATTTGTCTGCAAGTGCTGGAGCTGATTCTCCATTACACTGAGACTAGTTTTGATCCTGCTGTTTTGGTTCTACAGGGGTGTTGATGACCCTGCCTTATGGGCTGGCAAAGTTGGAAATAGTTGGCGTACTACAGATGACATCAATGATTCATGGGTAAGGTAAAAGTTTTTGACTCTGCCTGTTAGATGTTATAGTGGACATTTTGAGCGAGGTATTTAGTTCAGGAAGTATGTCATTGCTTAATATGTGCTGATTATGTCTCTGTTTCTTTGTCATGAAGCATGACTACGATTGCTGATATAAATGACGAGTGGGCATCATACGCTGGACCTGGTGGATGGAATGGTAAAAATGTGAAGCTTATGAATACATTATCTGAAGACAACTATTATTGCTTTGATTCCGAAATAGCTTAACTTCTCTGCCACTTTATTCTTTCTTGGAAGATCCGGATATGTTAGAAGTTGGCAATGGAGGCATGAATTACCAGGAATATCGTTCTCATTTTAGTATCTGGGCTTTAATGAAGGTCTATCTTTAATTTCTGTTTCTTTATTTCTTTGTTTGCTGTCAACATGTAGTTCAATAGGGTTTACTCAGTCGTAGACGTATATGAAATAAAGCAATCTTATACATCTGGTTACAATAAACTATCATATACCTGGTTACCTAAAATATGCATATCTTTTTCCCTTGATAATATCTATCTTTCTGCACTGCCTCAATAATAGATTGTTTGTATCCTTATGATCTAGTAGCACTTTTTGACTATGGTGAATTGGTTATTAGTATGGCCTATGAACTGTTATATGACCTTTGCTTCAAAGATTTCACACAAGTCATTTTTCTAAATCTGACATTTTGGTTCTACTACCCTACATTAATTGACTTAGTCCCACATTTGCAGGCACCCCTTTTAGTGGGTTGTGATATAAGAAACATGACTGCGGAAACTTTTGAGATTATAAGCAATAAAGAGGTCATCGCTGTAAACCAAGGTAAAAACTCAATATTATACCATTCTCTCTCATTTCTTTAACACAACCTGTTTAAATGAGAATTTGCAGCCTTTTTTTTAATGGTTTAGTCAAAGATATCTTTCACTCAAACCGTTACAATTCATATCAATTTTGATTCTTTTTGCAGATCCACTTGGGGTTCAGGGAAGGAAAGTTTATGTCTCTGGAACAGACGACTGTCTTCAGGTCTTCCTTTTTCACACTTATAAGATACGAGTGATATTACAGCCCTTATATGATAACACAGTTTGTGTGATGTGTTTGTAGTTGTGTGTGTTTGTGTTGTAGTATTTAGGAGGTGAACATTTTCCTTCTAGTGGACAAAATTATTTCTAGTTAAATATTGACGTTGTTCGGCTTTTAAATTATGCTAATTATATTACCATAATCTCGTAATTTTGGTCCTTATAATTGTGACTCTGTCCTGCAGGTTTGGGCAGGTCCTTTGTCTGGACACCGCTTAGCAGTTGTTCTGTGGAATCGATGTTCGAAAGCAGCAACTATCACTGCTGGATGGGGACCACTTGGGCTTGAATCTGGTACTAGTGTCTCAATAAGAGATTTATGGCAGGTGAGGAACTGACATACATCATGATGGCGCTGTTAAATACCTGAACGATAGTTAAGGCATTGCTTTGAAGACTTAGATTTATTCAATCATGTATTATTTTTGGCATCAGTTGGCTAATACCTACTGCAAAATATTTCTTACAGTTTCTACTGTATCTTATACCAGTCCTAAAAACTGTCCTCCTTTTGGATTCAACTCAACTAAGATTTTCGGAATTTTTGAGCCCTAAAAGCTCTAGAGCTACTTTTGTTTAAAAGGGTGTTTAACATTGAGTGATGATCTTTGCACTGCACATTGGCCTTAATTTTCCAAGCTTTTACTCGTGGTCATTACATTTCTTTTTATAATTAATTAAAATAATAACAGACCATTCATAGCAGTTTTATGTCTCTACTTTTTTCTTTATTTTCTTAACCTTATTCAATTTTGATTTGGTTCTGTAATACTTACAGCACAAAGAAGTTGTTGGAGATGCCGTGGCTTCATACGGTGCTCGTGTTGGTGCTCATGACTGTCAGATGTACATTTTCACTCCTCAGACAGTTGCTCACTCTGTAAACTAGTTAATTAATTCCTACTATCAGTAGGGTTCAAGCTCACGGGACAGTTCCACTCTTTGATGTTTCGGTAAGTAGACAGGTTATGATTTCCCTTTGAAAATGATCAAACGGGAAGTATTATCATAACCTTATTCTAAATCCAACGCAGTTGTGTTCAAGTATTGTTCATGGCTGTAGTTTCCAATGGAACTGGTTGTAATGTGTGAACGTTCCTAAATGATGCTTGGACATAAATTTCATTATACGGTAAAGACGTACCGGGACATTGTTATGATGAAAATTCCTTGGCTGTATTATAGATGCGGTAATGTTGGTATAATTTTTGCTTGATTTTGGTGAGAGCCACAACACACTGGTGTGGTATGCCAATTGCAAGAGTTTATGCTATCATGTCCATGAATAATTTTGGATACTAAGCAGACTCAAGTCACCATGGAAATTGATCTTTATGGAAACATGAAATAAGGGAATAAATACAATTGATCTGCTTGAAAAATAAAAATAAAAATAAAAAGGTCTTCTTTGGATAGGTTAAAGCTCATCCCAATCTTCATTTTCACCTTAATCTAATATATGAGAGCTTTTATGAGGTAATAATAAATTTAATATCTATCAAGTATACATCCCATTTTATCTGGAAAAAAAAAAAAAAAAAACAAAAAAAAAAAATGACTAAAGATGATGATAAACTCCTAGGCAATATATGTTTACAAGTCACTAAATGAGGCTAGAAGGCAGGCAGTATCTGTCTAAAATCCCTTCTCTAAAAGTGCCATCTAAATAATTAGCCTTTGGCAGAAGACAAGAAAATGCAAAAAACTAAAACAACAGAACTATTCCTAAAGCCTCTCCAAGATGGGGTAAACTCTTGCAAGAAAGGTCAGGGTAGAGCATAGGCTTGTATTCACGTTGTGACTGTTGCTTCCACCCTTAAATGCTTTCATGAGGACAACGGAGGGAAGTCTTCATCCTTCAGATGGTATGATTGAATGATAACCCTACAGCACCAAACCAGCAAAGGTTAAAGTTCAGAAATATCTTATACATTCTTAACTTCTTATAGATTTTCGTTTATTTGGAGAATGCCTTACATATCTTCATCACTTTCGGATGATTCCTGTTTAGACTCTGAAGTGGTGGAAGCACCGGAATATTTCATCTTCCTCACTGGTGATGAAGGCAACCTTAACAGTGGCACTGATTGTTCATAACTTCCAAACTTAATACATACTGTAGGAGAAGGGCAGTCCATGGCCTGCATAGAATTAACAGTGGACTGATCAAACTGGTGGTTGGCTTCTGATGGTGTAGGCTTCTTGATGACTGGAAGATGTGGGAATTCATCCAGTGAAAGATCAAGGGAATAGCCATCTCTGCCCTTGTCTCTTTCTGGTAAATCTTCATCCTGACCAGTCTTTGTACATGATTTCAGTGTCAGAACATGAGTGTTAGATTCTGAATTCCTTACTCTGGCCGATGCATAGGTTTCTTTGTAAGAATGATGCGTCTGCAATTCTCAGATAGTACATTTTTGTAATAAATGTTAAAACCATTTTTGACTTCAGGTTTTTACAGCCGAACAAGCATAATGCAAATTAAATAAAATGGAAGGCTTTAAATTAAAATACCATGTCAGGAATATATGTGCCTGTTCCTCGTGATTTCTCCACTTCATCAACATTGAACGTAGCACCAGACAGTTGAGAAACATAAGGATGGCAGAATGGTAGTCTTGGGACAAATACCTCTGTTCCCCATCGATAAAAAAGATTTCGCTTGCAACGCACAAACTGGCGCAGGCTGTCCCATGCACTTCTGTTACGGATTTCAGAGGGTGGCGATGATGGATTCAACTGGGATGGAACGGGCAAGGTATAATCATGATACCACTGGCCATACAGTAGACCATTATAGCAACTATTAAAGTCTCCATTAAGATCAGATTCTTCATATCTTCCAGTACCAAACACAGAGACAGGAACTTGTGCATCTGGTCTTTGTCCCTTCCCATTCCTGTCCAAAGTGTTCAGAAAGAACTTTTCGAGTCCCATACCGATGCTTTCACCTGGTAGCATAAGGATAGCTCCAAGCCTTTGAGCCCCATGCAAAAGAGCACATCTTATCCGGTGGAAATTTCCTGGGGAAGAGTATATGTAAAGAACTTGTATTAGCACTCACGCAATTATCGTAGCAATAAAAAAAAAAGAAGAAAAAAAAAATGTTCCAGCACAAAACAATATAATTTCTTATTTTTTTGGTAACCAAAAAAAGGGGTAAAACAATATAATTTCCATTAATCAATGTAGGAAGAAACTATCAAAAAGTATGCACTACGTCTATGTGTAAAACGACGTACAGAAACTTCAATTTTTCAGTTAAGATAATCTATGAATTCATAAGTCCTTTGGGAAGTATCAAGAACAACAAATTTTGGGTATGGCTCTTTAAATTCCATAAAATGACCTAAAACTAAGCCAGTCTTGGCTTATGGATGCTAGCAATCACCCTACTACTCAAAGCAACCCCCTGAAAATTGGATGTGTAGGGAGAATTTCCATCCCACCGGTTGGTGTTATTTGAGTAGCATTGTAAGCATCTTATATCCATTTGCTACTTAGTGCTACCGATGAAGGATTCAATAATGTCTCTCCTTAATAGCTTAAGCTTTTAGAATACTTGGTTAGTATTATTTATTATTTCCTAATAATCAGTGGGTAAAAACTATCAAATACCTTTACTAACACTTCGCCCTAAGTTGTTGTTGTCCTTCAAAGGATCCACTATGTTGAGGTGCTTAACAGGAAATTCATGTCCCGTAGTTTCCAATGCCTTAATTGGAACAGAATATATTTCCCTGCATCTCCTCAGAAATTCCTGACTGAGCAGTAATTCATCTCCATCGTTTCCCAGAGTGTCTACCACAAGAAGTAAAGGGAGCAAGATCTTGAGCAAGCATGTCAACCATTTAGAAGACTTTTGCATTCTATTAGTAACTACTTACCAACAAGCTCTGGAAGTGAAGATATGGCAACTGGACCATTTATACTGACACAGTAATTATCCCAATCAAATGTGCTATAATAGTCCAAAAATCTATATAGAACCTGCAAACAGAACGAAGTATCATTTCATGCACTGACAGAAGCACATAAATATTCCGAACCATGAAGAACTCACCGCTAAAGGGCCACATAACGATGAATGAAAGAGATTGATGATGCACAAAACCAGCATTTCTAATGCATATGTTGAAATCAAGCCATAATGGGCACCAAGAATTCGGCTCTCATAATAGCACCAGGCTTTGATCAAGATAATACTTCTTTTAAAAAGATGGTCATTCCCAATAAGTTGATCAACCTGCATTAAAGAAGCAAGACATTGCAGTTTAATTATTGCCACTATGAGAATAGTTTGATTTATAGGAAATGTTAAGAAAGAGGAAAAAACACTTATGCTAAATATAGAAGCTGACTTATGAAAGAAGAAAAAAGAAAAAAATACAATAAAAAAACAGAACCCTATAGATGAAAAGATTTATTATAACCATCAATAAGCACAAGTTCTTTTATGTAAGGGAAGAAGACTGAAAGAATGGATGGGCAAGCCCTCAAATCCGCCAATAGATCAGGATAGAGAAGCTCAAAATGAGAAGCAGAGACCATCCAGAAAACTTGAAACAAGTGAACTCTCAAGTATGGCAAGGAAAGATTTTTCTGATATATATTCACTTGCTTCTTCTCTGTGCATGTGATTGACGTGACCCTAGTCACTACTCTTAAAATACATGAGACCTGACAAAAATCTGAGGCAGGCTTGACATGAATGTGCAACTAGCCTAGCTTAGAAATAAGTGAGATTGTACCTGCTCTAGAAAGCATAGCGCAGATAGCCCTGCCATTTGATTGAAAGATATGTCCACCGGTATATCTTTCACACTGCATTTTACAATCTTAACCTGCCATAAAAACTCCCAAATTCAAATGATGAAGATGAAACCTTTAATGATTACATGAATATCACAGCAATGTGAATAATTACAGCAAGAAAGGGGTATAGCATTTAATATACTTCTTCTCACGAAAACAAAATATTGGAAATTGCTACTTTGCCAACTAGAAAAGAGCAGTGACAGATAATTAGTTTCAAATGGAAACTTTTTAATCCATAGAATGTGGACTGATAGATCAGAACACGTCCATACACATGCAGTCTCAGACACAACAAATTGTAAAACTAGACATGAGACCAGAGTTTCATTTGTGTGTCTCCTAAATTTGTTATAGTTATCACATCTAGTTATAGTTATCAACACCTAAGTTGAAGTGGATGTGAGAAAAAATATAGAGATTTGAAACTAATAAAGTACCATTATGCTTCCCCCAACACAATTTTGACATAAAAACAAGTAAACTCTATCATGACTGTTGGAAATGTGCATATATGGACATCGAGAAACATATCTGTATGCTAATCATTGATCTGACAAACCATCATACAAGACGAGTCCTAGAATTTTCATCAAACCCCGCCACTCATTTTTCTGTTGACTTACTACCAACCTACTCCAAATTGGGTGCATGTCCCAGCCAGTAAAAAATTTGCATTTTAAAGTTTAGAGCAAGATAAGTCAGTCCTAGTGGGGATAACTGAAATAAAATAAAATAAAAGCCAACAAAAAAATAATTGTAAGAGTTTGACAAAAGGTACTGTATCATGCCAACATACGAGTTAACAATAAATTGAGTTATAAGTCATCACTTTAAGTGGTGAAAGAATTGCAGTTAAGAAACCCAAACCTGTGCACGAACATATTGAACATCAATGACTTGGAATTCAGAGTCCAGCTCTTCACTTTCAAAGATTCTGCAGACATCTCTAGCCAAGTCCTCTTCTGCATTTTGATGGCTAACCACAGTCAAATCAATATCACCATCAGGAAGATAGGTTTTCAATGGTACCGAGCCAAATGAGAATACCTGTTAAGAAGTGCAAGGCAAAGTGAAAGAACTTCACATATTTGAAAGTCAGAAAATTAGTCCTATGTACAGACTGAAATAAATTGGACCATTCATTCTCTCAATTTCCCTCTCTTTTTTTTTTCAAAGAAACTATAAACTTTGTATTGATATAGAAAAGAGGTGAGGACAAGCAGTTGTAAACCAAATGTCCGCAGAGTTTCTTTAACTTTGTGAATGTACTGAATTATAAAACATTGACCACCAAACAAAAACAAATAAACCATCCGTCCCAAAATGATTGGCATTGGCAGTCAAAACCAAACAGCAATAAGCAACAAATTGTGAATATGCTATCATGAATTTAGAAGGTAAAGGGACCTCATTATAACCATATCTAATCATGTCATTAATAATTAAGTAATTCAATGAAAAAACAGATATAGATGCACAATCGTCATTTCAGGCAACATGTTCATATCAGCTTCCTATTAGCAGCAACAGCACGACAAATGAAAATGCACACAAGCATGCCATTTGTTTCACTGAAATAGAAAATCATGTACACTACCAAGATAGCTGTGTGCCAACCGCAAGACAAACTGTTTAGATGGGATACCATCGATATCACATCATAAAGGAAATACCCAGAGATTATGTGAGCTCCTTAACAATCAATGCACACAATGAACATTTTAAACCCTTGAAAGAAAGCTGAGGACCCTGAAATAACATGTACAGTACTCAAAAGTCCTTAAAAGCAACAATACTAATTGAAATGGTAAAAACTTTCAATGAGCTGCCAATTTATATAGTACCCTCTTAGCTGCTCCAGAAGGAAAATTTGGAAATGCACTTGCGTCAATCATGAACTTCATATATGCTTATATGTATTATTTGAGAGATTCACCATAATTAAACCATTACGAGAATGAAGCAAATTTTTTTAAAATTAACCTAATTTAAACAAAGAGAGAGATAATAAAGTACATTAAAGAAAAAGAAAAGAAAGATACCATTATATTCGGGATTCAGCAAAATTGACAAGTTTTAAGAATCTAGAAAGTAGAATGCGGTAATTCTCACCTCAACTCCATAGTAACTATTAATTAGTTGCTGAAGATATTCGATGACCCCCTTCCTTTTTTGCTCAGAAGCTAGAGCAGGTTGGATAATACACAATATCTCTTGGATCCTTTCCTCAGCCATCAGCCAGAGCTCAGTATCAATTGCCAGTGGATGTTGATTAGGCGAAGAGGAGGAAGACGAGCAAGAGATTAAAGAGGACGAAGTTGATGAACTCTCTTGAAGATCTTCCATAACTATGAAAGCTGAAATTTTCAGCATCGGAAAACTCACCAACACAATGCCCTATTCCTGATTTCAACTGATCATGTAGAGACAACAGTAAGAAACCTTTGGAAGTAGGAATTCGAAACAATAAAAGAACATTCAGGAGACAATAGAATCTGTGAGTGAAGGGGACACAACGACACTATAAACAGGTGAAATTTTGAATAAATGAAGGGAAATAAAAAATGTTGATAAAACAGTGGAACTTAATCTAGAATCTGCCAAGTTAGCTCAGAGGTCAGAACCAAACTAGCTCCTACCCCTGGGTAAAGACAAAATTGGTCCAAAACACTTCCCTATCTGTTCCAATCTCTAATGCTGCTTTCAACATAATCCCTTGCACATATAAAAAAAATGTACAAATGTTCTAAAACATAAAAAACGTCCAAAATCAATAATAAAGAAAATGTTAGGACTATTTGGTCAGTCTGGAATATTTCTCTTCCTAGTGCAGGGACAATATAGTGAGGATATATATCAATAAAAGTAGATCCTCAGGGAGAAAATTAGAGGCAAGAAAGAAAAGGAGAATACTTTTCCTTTCTTTCTTTTAACTTTTTGGTGTTTTCCCCTTAAATGGATGCTTTAAAAGGGCATTCGGTAGACAAAAGTGACAGAAGTGAGACGAAGAAAACAAAACAGATAAATAAGAAAAAAAGTGTGTATATTGCTGCAGAACAGATCACTTTTGAACAGAAAGGTCTTTACGCTACACATGAAGTAATGTCTCACTTTTCTCAATTTTGAAGAGCTTCTTTTGAAGAGATGCAATTCTTCTCCATTAATTAGTCATACAGTAAAAGATTGGATGTAATAAGGTCACAGTAGGAAAGTTTTCCACTTCTCCACATGATCATAACTAGCATTAATGACAGTTAAGTGTATTCTTAGCAATTTCTCATTTTTGACTCCCAAATTCTTACCTAATTAATTCAGATTTTTAGAAATCTAAAATTGAATGGTCCTTTTAATTACTAAATCTGAGCCTCTATTCCCTGATAATAATTTTTAATTGCATGGATGTTAAAATGAGTCATATTAACTAAATATTGGCCTGGCATGATTTGGACTTTTCAAGAAAATGACAAATAGAATCTGTCCGTCATTTATGAAACTAACTCTGCAGTTAGGCAAGTCCAAATCATTTCAGGCCAATGCTACTTTCAGCAAACTAAGTAGCTGATAAGCAGTCAAGAGCACTCAGATCATCTATGCCCCTGGTTTTCTAGGGTTCATTTGAGATCTTTGAATAGTCCAGGCAAGTTGAGACAAGATGTGTTAAATTAGAACATATTTGAGATTAATAAACATCTAATTTCCACAGCTTAACAACACAAAATCATCAATCTACTATCCGCAAAAATAAGCATAATTAATACTCATAATTTAGTAGCCTAGGCGCCTTCATTTTGGAAACAGACTACACTTTAAATCTTATGAAGCAACAAATTTTCAATTAAAATATGGCGAACAGAACTCAAGCGAGTATACAAGAATAAACCAGGAAAAAGAACCTGCTAATTGAAAGGTTACACCGATTTTCATTCTCTTCTTTCACTATATTTAGAACTATCTCAAAAGAAGCCAGCTTGTTTCTACATCAAGCATCGTAGGTTCAAAATTGAAAAAGAAAGTTTTCCCATTCAAGCACTGCTTCCCAACCACATGTGGGAGACAAAATTACTTCACAAAATAATAATTCTTTTCATGGGAACCTTAAAAAGCTCTTCTCAGGGCTCAAAATTTGTTTATTATTCTTTATCCAATGGGGAATAGGATTTAGTCTTCACAATCAGCAGGCCTTCTGTTATATGAACTTTTTGGTTTATGGTGCTCCTAGTTTAGCTACTGATGCAGTACAACCATGATTGGTTATATCAGTGTCTGGTAATGATTCCTTTAGTACGGGTTAATTCTTTTGGCGTTTTGAATATAAGGATGCACTGTCATTATCAGTTACAAAGCTATTTATCAATCATTTTCTCCCATCTACATAACATTGTTTATAAGTGAATCTATTACTAAGCACCCGCTTCACATTATATATTCTTGTGTGATGTTATTGCTTATTTTTCTTGCTACATGTTTAAACCCACATTTAACACTTCAGTGTAATGCTTAAAATAGGAAATGTCAGTCAACAGAGTTTCTAACTCTTCTTTTCTACCTCTTGAGATTTTAAATGTCCCAATTTAGCACTCCATCCAATCTAAGTTGGGAAACTAAACAAAGTCTTAAGATTGTCGCCAAATTCTTTACAGAAACTCACACATGCATGTGAACGTTAATAGCAAAATAAACATCTACGAAGTCAAACAAAAAGTAAGAGGCAAAAATACAGATAAATATCGATGACACGTGTGCTCCAACCGACCTTTTTAACATCAGAATCTTATCTTATCTAACAAAAAATGGCACAAAAATAACTTCTCCATGCTCTTATAGGTGTTAAGATGGTGCATACACATCCTCAATCATGTTCAATTATACACTTCCAAAAATCACAATTACAATTTGTTCAACAAAAGACAATGATATTTAGATAACGTGTCTTAATGAAAACTGAAATTGAGAATTGCAGAATATATAAACTTTTATTTCAATTTTCGAATGATCTGATTGATTTTCCAGGTGAATGCATGTACATAAACTGGTTTTATAGAGTTTATTAAGGACTAAATTATCTAGATGGTAAATATCATCTATACTCATAGCAGAAGAAGTGTAATTGTATTAGAATTTCTTGTCATAGGATACAGCAATTAAGCTAAAAAAAAATATTTGTGTGAGCAAAATTACATGCGTGGTATTAGTTAAAGCTTCATAACTAGAGTTGACATACAGGACGCCAGGCTAACATGACATTTTGAAGGTTATGGTAAAACCAGACAGTCCATCACTTAGTTTTACAAGGGGTCAATAAGTTCTAACTTTGACCTAAGTAAAATTTTCTTGCAGTAGCAGGAAATGTGCAACATACTTTTGAGAGTATAATATGCTAAAATAAACAGTATATTCATCTCAATCTACAATGAGTGCAGGACAAGTAGCATAAGTCTCACAGATTCAATGTAAAAATTTTCACGACAATCAAAGGTTTACCTTAATGAATGTCCAGATTGCTGCTTTCTTCTCTTCGGTTTTGCTCTCTTTTCCTTTCGCTTTGCTCAAAGGTCAATGCTTCGGTGGACTCCCTGCCCTCAAACAAGTAAAAGCACAACTTGTAGCAGAACATCTGTCTGGATCAAACTAATAAAAGATGAATGTTACACAATCCAAAAAAATTAAAAATAGAAACCCAAACCCTAATCCCCTCAAAAACGCAAACCCAAGAAATGAAAAGAACCTCTAAAAATGTTGCAACCTAATTAAACATACAGTAGTTTGAAAACTTTTAAGGCTTATCCATTTAGTAGTGCGGTCCCACCATCCGTTATCCAATTACTGAAGTGGCAACTATAGAAAGAAAACAACACCATTAACGGCCCCCGGGAATCACTTAACCACCCAACAATTTTCCCGCCATGTATACACTGGCAGCTAAAACCCTTACCCTTTCCCCTTCTCCATTTCTCTATAAACCATTAACCAAACCCCAAAATCCTAACCATAAACTTCCAAGCTCACATCAAACTCCACACTGTAACCCGCCAATTCTCACAAATGACCACAACCCATTACCCAATTCCCAAAACCCTAATCCTAAACCCTTAAATTCAAACCAAGTTCCAGACTTTAACCCACCAATTATCACAAATGAACTCAAATCCACTTACCAAAGCGAAAGGGGTCTCCAGTTCGAGACCGAAGATACCTTCTTTCGCCATGAGAGCGCCACCGGGCGTGACCTCGGCGTGCTCTCGGCAAAACTTTACAAGCAATCAAAGGGACAATTACGTGTGCTTGACGCGATGTGTGGGTGTGGAGTTCGTTCCCTCCGGTACCTCGCTGAAGCTGAAGCCGACTTTGTGATGGCGAACGATGCAAATGATAACAACAGGAGGGTTATTGTGGGTAATTTGAAAAGTATTGAAAGGGTTTCAGGGGAGGAGAAGAGATGGGTTGTGACACATTCTGATGCAAATAGGATTTTATCTGAGTGTTATCTGAAAAAGGAATTTTTTGATTTGATAGATGTTGACTCTTTTGGCAGTGATTCTAGTTTCTTAAGGAATGTTTTTAACACCATAAAGTTCAATGGATTGCTTTATTTAACGTCCACTGATGGGTACTCTTCCGGCGGCCATCGGCCTGATTGGTAAATGGAATTTCATTGCATTTAAATTTGGTAACTTACAAGATATCATTGGTAAATTTTGTCCGTTAATGTTATTATCTTCCCTCGTTGATTTTATCCGTATTTTTTTCAAAATTGAATTCTTAACGATAAAGCTCCTCTGCCATCCATAGGAGTGGATAGGGTTTTCAAAATTTTGTCCTATTAACAAACTCTTTGTCAGAAGTTCGAGTTCAGATTTTAAAAATACGAACTTTCATCGAAGAAGAGCCATATTATTTCACTTGATTGTATGAATTACAGTTTTGTATTGACCCAGAAAAATTTGATAACTTCATAAATTGGTGATAGTATATATTATGTGCAAATGGTGGTCATATTTGGATGGTATTCTTCTGTTGTATATTGTTATCAAAATGATGTATAAGTTTGTAGTGCTTCTTGGTGCAGTGTCATCTATTGGACAGTGTTCTTCTGTTTTATATTGTTATCAAGATGATGTATGAGTTTGTAGTACTTCTTGGTGCAGTGTCATCTACATGATTGCATATCAAGATATATATCTACTCTTTTGAAGGAAGTCAATGGATTGTTAGTTTAATTGGTGTAAGTTAAACGTAATAACAAACTGAAGCTTGATTCTGTTTTCTTGTCTAAATGGTTATTAAATTACAGATTTTGGTCCTCTTTAGTTGAAGTTAAGTTGCTCAAATTGGAGTTCTGATTTCTTCATTTTCTAGTAATGTTACATGTAACGAAGAACTGAATTTGGTTTTGGTTCTATAATCTGAACTGTATATAATTCTTCTGAAGATTTTGATCGTTATTGGTTGCATGTTTTGCTTGTTTGTTCTTCTTTGGTTATACTTATTGTGCTATGTTTGTTTACTGGTTCTGGCACTGACAGTTAAGTAACTGGCTGTGTTTTACATTTTCTAGTTCATTAGCTGCATATGGAGCATATATTCGCCCTATGCCTTATTCAAACGAGATTGGTTTGCGGATGCTTATAGGTGGGGCGGTAAGAGAAGCGTCTGCTCAAGGTTATTATGTTACTCCTCTTTTCTCATATTATTCATACCATGGACCTGTATTCAGAGTCATGTTCAGAGTGAATCGTGGCTCGTTGCCAGATAGCAGGTAACATTTTACTCCTTAAGTTATTCCATCTTTGTGAATCCTGTTGTTCATGTTAGTCTTTATCAATGACTCACCATTCATGACAACAGACATTATGGTTTCGTCAGCTACTGCACCAAGTGTGGGAATTCTCAAACATATTCCTGGGAAGAACTTGGTCAAATCTGCTGCCCCTGCAGTAATAATATTGTATGCCTTCATTTTAATGCAATATTTCCCCAGTTTTTAGTCGGAGACTTGGAACCTGGAGGGTATTCTAACCTGTCAGTTTCTTCTCCAGGGTTCTAGGTCACTGGTTGTTTCAGGGCCCCTGTGGACAGGCCCTCTTCATAAGGCTTCCTACATTACGGATATGTTAAATTTGGCTGAGCACTGGGGATGGGTGGGCAACGGCACAGGAACTGATCTGGAAAAACTTTTAAGACGGATGATAGATGAAAGTGACCCCAGACTACCAGTTGGATATATCAAATTGGACGAGGTACCAAATACAAATAGAATTTCTTCTTTTCATCATTTTTCATCTTTATAGGATGGGGTTGTTTGATGAATTTTCTGTCTGTCCCAGATGGCAAGCCGAGCAAAGATGAATTCTCCATCTCTAAGTGCCATTATGAGCGCCATGCACAAGGTAATTCTTCGATTATTTGCTTTGTAAAGAAACATTTGCATTAAGATTATCTGGTAGCATTTTAAGTGTACTTGTTACAGACTTTTAACCTTTATTATCTATAATCTCTGGACTGAGTGTCTTGTGTGGGTTGGTGTTGCAGGAAGGATATGCTGCTAGTAGGTCACACATTGCCTCCAATGCAATCAAGACTAATTGTTCCATGACACAATGCATAAGGATTGCCAAGGAACTACAAGGATGCTCAGACAAATAACATTGGGTATTGAAGAGAATGACAGTCACAGGAGAAGCTGCACATCAACATCATTCCAACTTCTTCCCAGGCAAATTTCAGGCAAAATTTTGCAGAGGACTGCTCTTCGGAAATGATTGACTTATTGTTCATCTGTCATCCACTTCATCATTTAGGCAATTGGTTGCACATTGAAAGACTACATTCTTATTTGTTAAATCACCTAATGAAAGAAATAAAAATCAAGATGCAATAACTTACTAATGAATCAGAATCCTTATTTGTAAAATCACTGTAATTGTCTCCTAACTGGTATATGATGTTTGGTGAAAGAACCCACCAATAACTACTAATCAACAAATCAGAAGCTAAAGAACCTCTACTAATACTGGATTTTCATTCACTAATGGAACCAGTAGTAGCAAGCAGTAAGACATCAACCTTAGAATAACTGCAGAAGTATTAGGAACACTATGTTCTTATTTTAACACATTTCAACTGAAACAAATTTTGATTTATGGTGGTAAGCTTGAAACATCTAAAAGAAATCATTATCATAAATGTGAACATAAGAATTGTTAAATCCATCTCCTAGGATAGCGAGGAGATCAGACTTCATCAGCAAAGAGTATATCAATCGCATGTCAATTAACCAAAAACCTTGCTGAGAATATGTATATGAGACATTATTTGCTCAGATCACTGGGCTACGAATTCAAAATGAGTAGCTTCAACTCCATTATTCAAAACTATAGCATTCAATATTAATGTGCCATCAAAAATATAACATCCAGTTCAAGAAAAGAAATGGTGCCAATAAGAAATCCAATTAAAACAAAATATCATTTGTGATAGCCATGAAACTTGCAAAACTCAACAGTAATACTCAAAAAAGTCTTAAATATTAAATATCCCTACACAGTACTCAAGTTCTAGGAAAGCATAATAGAAAATGGAAGAACATGACTTCATGGGCGTAGGGGATTCCCCACTCCAAGTCCAGGAGCTGGACGAGGTGCAGCTCCAGGAGCACCCTGAGCAGGCTTTGGCATATCATCCTGAAGAAATCAAAGAAAGACATGAATAAGATCCCGCAAAAAAATTCAAAATTTCATAGTACAATAGCATTTAGAGATAGCACGCATAAGAATAATATTTTAACAAAATAAAGCAATCCCAAAGTTCACATTTCAATGANCAGTACTCAAGTTCTAGGAAAGCATAATAGAAAATGGAAGAACATGACTTCATGGGCGTAGGGGATTCCCCACTCCAAGTCCAGGAGCTGGACGAGGTGCAGCTCCAGGAGCACCCTGAGCAGGCTTTGGCATATCATCCTGAAGAAATCAAAGAAAGACATGAATAAGATCCCGCAAAAAAATTCAAAATTTCATAGTACAATAGCATTTAGAGATAGCACGCATAAGAATAATATTTTAACAAAATAAAGCAATCCCAAAGTTCACATTTCAATGAATAAAGGTTCTTGAAGTCTAGCATTATTGATTATGAGTGTAAAATCAGGAATCTCTATTAACCAATTTTCGTTATTTTAGACTCTAAACCCTAATAAAATCTAACTCAAAAACACTAATAAAATAGAAGGCCCAATAAAACTAAACCATGAAAGCATAATTAAAAAGAAAAGAAAGTACCCTGCGTCTGATGAAACGCTTTGGTGGCTCCCGGTTCCTGCGGTCAGTGCGAGAGCGAACCCTCACCACACGGGAGTGAATTGCGCACGAAACACAGTACTGCATCTTTGCATACAACTTGGGCAGAACATACCCTTCACGAAAACAAAAACAAAATAAACATTACACAAACAAATCTAACATTATTCAATCACACCAACCAAACCACAACAAAACAAAGACTAAAGATCAGATCAGAAATAAGATTATTTACCATCATAGACACAGGCCTCTTGCACATCTCTAACAGCGGCCTGCTCCACGATGTTTCTCACCAGAAACCTCTTGATAGCCTTATCTTTTGGGCAGCACTTCCCGCAGTTTGAACATCTTACGAAGTTGACGTGTCCACGCCCGTGCTTATTACGCCCACCATTCCTGCGCTTGAAAGTCTGTCAACACACATCACACAAAAACAAATCAGTCGATGAATATCACAAAATCCATAAGAGTAAATGCAAATCAATTGATAAATATTATGAAATCTCTAGTAACTTTAGGCTTTAGGTATGTGAGTGCTTCAGAACACTCACCATTTTGTTCCCTCTGCGGCTGCTGCGGTATGTGAGTGCTCTCAATTTCTGTTGTGGCGCTAGGGTAAATTAAGAGCTAGGTTTAGCCTTATATATAGAGGAGTGACTTACCGTAATTATAGAAGCCCCTATGTATTTCTAATATTTCTAATTTCACCCCATTTTTATAATATATCATGTAGCCCCTTTATGAAAGTGAAAGTTTTCACCCCCACACCCTATAGGTTGGCGTGGTGTGTGTTGTGAGTTATGACATACGGAGTAAACATATACATTTATCTTACCAAATTTTTTTCAAAATAATCAATTTTTATTTTTTTTGACCTTTTTTAAGATTGACCAAGTTTTTCTATACATCTAATAATCAATAATTCATATATTTATATATATATTTTTTTTCAACACAAAAAAAAAAAAAAAAAAAATGTCTCCATTCTAATTTCTAAGACGCTTGATTCCAGAAAAAATGAAAAAGAGATCGTCATCTTAAAGGATATCCGAGTGTAGAAGAAGAATTCAAAACCATGAACATCAATCAACTGTTTCTCATTCTATTATTTAATTGATATCAAAACTGGGGTAAGAAAGTGTTTTGGAGGTATAAGAGAAAAATGAATCTTGAAGATTCAATAATACCAAGAAAGAATTTTCCACCCAGAGTTCATCAATTTAAGGCATTATGCAAGGGCTTCGGGGATAGCCACATGAACCTCATATCATGTTGAAGAATGAATAGCTAGCACGTAGCATTCACCAGAAAGAACACATCCCAAAACAAATTCGAACCATAACCTTGTTAATCAAGATGGGTACAAAATGATCAATGTTGTCATTAACAGGAAGTTACAAAAAGCGCATAGAGTTCAACATTATTCGGTTTTCATACATGGGATACAAAACTTAACACACATTGCAGAAAAGCAAAGGGGGCTCTATATCTGCCACAATATATTATTTATTTCGACTTTGACAGCTCAAACCCAACTCAAACAAAATGTTCCTAGCTCAAGGGCATTCTTTCTGGTACAGTTCGCCGGCATACTTCCAGTTGATGACTTTCCAAATGTTTTTCAAATAATCTGGTCTCACATTCTTGTACTGCAGCATGGACAAAATGTAAATCACATGAGATATGAGAATATAATACAAACAAGTATTCATAACTGGATGAAAGTAATCATTCAAAAGATTTTGAAAAGAAATCGTCTGTTCACACAAAAACTCATATGATGACATTAAACTGATATACACTAACAGCGACTGATAGCTTTTAAACAGATAAGAGGATGATGAATTTCTAGCCAATTTAATGCTATGTTAAACTTGAGCTTAACTGATGCACAGAAAACAATTCTAGTTTTCCTTGTGAGGGCTCCAAAATACATATCTACAGTCTATGTCATCAATGCAAGTGATAATAAGGCAGCCACTTCTTTGTCAAGACTACCCTGAAAAACTAGGGACTATTTTCAAACACAATAAAGCAGCCACAAAGGCACTATTGGTGGTCTAGACAACCAATGATTTGAAATTTACCTGTAAGTAGTATGCATGCTCCCAAACATCTATGCCAAGCAAAGGAACCAAATTTGGACCTTTAGTTACCAGTGGATCCTGCAGAATAATTCAATAACTTATTAGATCTTACAACATAAAGATATATCAATCACACATGTTCCAGACGTTATTCAGTCACTCATGCCACCAGCAAATTTTCTCAATTCCTAAAACTCTTATATGTTGAGAAGTTACAAAATTCTCCATTTACCTGATTTGCAGTTGTTTCAACCACAAGCTTCTTTGACTCCTTGTCCACACCAAGCCACTGCCAAAACAAGACGTGGTAAAAATCAAAAAATATAATAGCATTGCCTGCCACATCAAAGCACATAAATCTGGAAAAGGACTTGTTGGACATTAACCAACTGAAAAACTTACCACCCATCCAGAGCCCTGTAAAGCTGCTCCTTCAGCATTCATCTTTTGTATCAATGCTTCAATAGAACCAAAATTTGTGTCAATAGCCCAACCAAGCGAACCATGTGGTGGCTCACCGCCACCTTCCTGCAATAGCAACATGTTTAAAAACATTAAATAACTCGTTCAAAAAAAGACCTACAAAAGCTTTTAGAAGTATAACTTACACTAACAGGAGTGAGATTCTTCCAGAAAATTGAGTGGTTGATATGACCTGCATGAGATATATCGATTTGTTAAATTGAAGTAAAAAATTAATACAAAACAATAATGGTTATTGTCAAAGAGAACCATTAGAAAATTAATTATAGGATAAATTGTTCTTCACTTTAATAAATTTCAGCTATACTCACGAAATGATTTTCTGAAGCAGAAACAACCAAAAATATCTATCTCATGCTAAACAAAACACAAGAAGAAATAATATACCCTCAAGTCTCTTATTAAGTAAACTTTCTATGAAAATGCCATAAACTTCGATAAGCTTTCTATGAAGATGCCAAAAACTTTGATCCTGAATCATAATATCACAGATGGTATGAAGTCAAAGTTAGTGAATTCTAATATCAATTAAACTTCTCACGCTAACCTCTGAATAATAACTTATCATCCTACCAATTACACAAAGCAATAGTCCTGCAATCAACTCCATTATAAACCGAAAAAACCTCAGACTAGAAAACATCCAATTGCAATTGGAAAAGCTTACTTTCCGCACATATACTAATAAAAACCAATTTTATTCCAATTCTATTATCGTCATCCTTTTTCGCAAAACAAATAATTATCTTCCAACGTAACTAAAAATCAAAATTCATGTAAAAGTATACTCTTTTCAACTCAGCTACATCTTCAACTGAAGAATACGAGTAAAAAAAAGTCAAACCTTCAACTCAATTACTAACAAAGAATTAATCATTTCCGATTCTATTCTCATCATTTATTTCATTTCAAGAAAAGACAGAAATTAAAAAACTTAAATAATGAATTGAAAGGACTTCAATCAGACCTCCGCCGTTGAACTTGATGGCGCTCTGCAACTTGACAACAGCAGAAGCGTCGCCTTTGTTGATGGCTTGGTCGAGCTGCTCAAGCGCCTTGTTGTAATTAGTAATGTAAGTCTGGTGGTGCTTCTGGTGATGCAACTGCATAATCTCGCCGCTAATCGCCGGCTCCAAAGCGCCATAATCGTAGGGAAGATCCGGCAACGTGAAGGTCTGAAGTCCACGGACGTGCGACTTCAATCCTAGGCGTAGGGATTCGGTTAGGGTTTTCCTGGTCACGTAAGAGAGAAGTGCCATCGCGAAGGAGATGAGAGGAAACGGGTTTCTAGTGATTAGTCGGAGAAGAGAGGAGTAGAAATTAAAGTAAGAAGAAGATTTGGGTTAGTTTATAGTGGATGATGTGGCGGAAATCAGGGTGCGACCACTGGACATAACGTGTCGCTGTCACGAATTCTGTGTGTTGGGCTTGGATTGTCATCAAAATGTTGTAATTTTAAACACTTTTATTAGACTTTACTCAAATATAGGCGATAATGATAATATGGTCTCTGGCCAATTGACGCGGATTTCACAATCCACAGCTATGGAGACCCACTTAAAAGTCTGGCCGTCGTCGACGACCAGAGCCACTATAGACCTGGCCATCTACGGTAAGATTGGCATACGATCTGTCAAATCTGACCGTTCATGTGTTGTTCTAATGTTGACGCAGCGGTAATTGTTGGCGATCAACAATGGCTTGGGTGAATGAAGCTGTTTTTATCGATTTATAAACTTTTTATCGTGAAATGGCTTGGGTGAATGAAACTGTTTTTATCGATTTATAAACTTTTTATCGTGAAATGTAATTATTTTTTAATTAAATAGAATTGGAAAAATGTTAGAATAGAATAATAGTAAACAAGTCTCATCCACTTTTCATTTTCAATTGAAAAAATCTTATTTAATTCAGATTGATTTTCAAAATAATGATCTCAATAAGCAAACAAACATATATTTTGTTTTTTAATCAAAATAGGATAACAGAAAAATGATTTGAAAGAGTGAAACAAACAAAGGATGGTGTCCGGCCAATTTACACATATTTCGTAATCCACCACCATGGTGACCCACTTAAACTGACCAATCGCAACCCACCGCCATAGCTCTCACTTAAATCATAGATACTCGGATAAAAAATCAAACCTGATACTGTACGTCTATCTATATTATCTCTAATTTGTCTTAACTATATGTACTACTCACGAATGAGCTTGTTAATTATAATTTGGAGTTAGTGCTTTTAATTTTCAATACTATAGTATAATATTAGATATGAATTCGTTGTTTGATGCTATTAATACATTATAGTTATATGGGAATGTTGTTAATTGTTTTTGGGATATGATAATATATGTTTGATGTTGTCATATCCCGTATAATGTAATTTACATTTCAATTATATCATAATGTTATAAATCATATTATAATATCCTTGATAGCTTAATTGAAGGGTTAAACTTAGTCATGTGATTTTACTTGCACAAAACCGAATAAAAGCTTTAGTTTCAAACTCCACTTCACAAAGCGAGGTCATTAATGGAGTCTAGGATTCCATTGTGCTAACTATTAGCTATCAAAAGTGATGAGTGTCATATATATACACAGTCATCCGACCACAAAGAGAGAGGTTTATAAATGTATACATATTGAAAATACAAACTTATACGAGATCAAGGATTTCGTTGTGATATTTCGTATACAAAGGTCATGTTTCATTGAACAATACATTCTGCTATGTAAAGTGGTGGTAGTCATGTATATGTGTACACACACATAACACACACATATTCATAACATAAATACGAGCTTATACGAGGTCAAAGAATTCATAGAGCAAAACATTCTACTATGTTAACTGGTGGTTCTTATGTATACCTGTACATCCACATATATATTCATTTACATGAGTAGAAACTTATACTTTACATGCACAAATCAAAGATAATCCGTGATTACGTGTGTACAGACATACATATCCGTCTACGCTACCAACTTATACTTCTATACGTCCAAATGTAGATAATTTGATAGCAGAAAAGATAAAAAGATGAAGAGAATAATATAATAACTTAAACTACTTAGTAAAAGTATCCCTTTCATATGCTCCCAAAATGCTTAGATTGAAACACAAGGCCGTCCAAAGCAAATTTGTCTTCTTTTAAGTCTGACCAATTTGTTAAATATGCTATCTTCTGTCTGCTCAATGAAGCTTGCCAGCTTGGTGCTTTATCCTCAACAAAAAACAACGTCCCTGCTTGTCTACTTTTGTTGTTTCTTCAATCCTTTCTGTTCCTACTCACCGATGCAACAGTTCTATCTTTGTCTGCTAACACTCCCATTTGTCCTTAGAAAATTACCCATCAGACTTCACTTGGTGCAGGATCGAAGATGACAAAATGTATATGAAAATATTAAGGTTTCTCCTAAATTAAATCTAAGCCTACCATGCATGTGCTACTATAAATACCATGCCTGCGAACAAGCTGAGATCTCATTGAGTTCATCCTTCTGTTTGCCCATCTATTGTTCTTGTCTTTGCTGCATTGCGAAGTTGTTGGCTTTGCAGCAAGGCACTTGGCAATGTGTTCTTCGAGTGAGTCTCAAGTAATTTCGAATAGTGATATTGGGAACTGCAGGGATAAAAATTACTGTATCGATGGGGAAATTGCAGGAGGAAGAAGTTCCATCGGAGAACTTCTGAAATGGTTGTGGACAATCAAGGTAAAACTTCATTACTTGCTTTCAGTAAGCTGCTTTTTGATAATTTTTTCTGCTTCTGTGTTTTGCTCTGTGTCCCCGCAGAATCTGAATTTTTTGGCTTGAAGCCATACAATGTCCCAGCTTAATTATAAGGGAATCTACACTGAATATATTTAAGGTTCTCTAAAGAAGAAGTCATGGTTGTTATATCAGGCAAAGAGAGGCAGTAAATATAAACAAAATGGGATGATTGCGAAATTTCTATAGGTCAGGAAAGTGAGAAGCAGATCTCATTTTGTGATGACGATAGAAAATACTCTCTTTCATGCGCAGAATGGAACGGCATTCAAACACATTTTTAACATAATTCCAGGTCCAAAACTACCAAACATACGAAACCTAACAACATATTTATCAGAGCAAACCCATTCCAAAACTACCTCCACCTATCAAACGTTTCATCAGCATAGTTATGTAAAATAGTGCTAACCGGAGAATTATTTTGATCAATCTAACAAGCGAACTGCATTCCTAATCATCATTAAAATAAAACTGCCTTCACCTGTTCATAGTCAAACATTTGATAACACGATAACAAATGTCAGTTAAACGCGTCTGTCACTTTTTGTAGTGTCATAGCGAAAAACCTTCAACGTGTCAAGAATAACTCAATGACTTTAAAATCACAGTATTACAAAAGACTCATTAAATTTTTGCATCTTGTAATCAATGGCATGCCACATCATTATATTAAATGATACAGCCCTCTCATGTTCATCTTTTACCATTTCAAAATTTAACAAATCTGTACACCACAACTATTTGTGCAAGACACCACTTAAGTAATCCTACAACATTTTATAAGCCTAGATGAGGAATAATACTACAATCCAATAAATTATTTTGTGTCTTAGGATCCTCCAAGAGTCTGAACATTCATTACTAAAATCAGAGACAAAATTTTGAGTCAATTAATAACGGCATCAGTAAGAAAATGAACTAAAGGAAACTCTATGAATTACTTATTTGTCACCAGGTTGGCAAAATAAAGTTGGGTTGTCTTCTATTTCTTCACATAGTCAAGCTATCTCCATAATCTGCACCATGCATTTATGGAATATATATATTACTTCATCGTTTTCCTTAAAAAAGCCCCTATCCTTGCAAGGAAAGATAGGATTTGACAAGTGAGGTTATTAATTCATTTGTGAAAAGAATCTGTCACCTCAGTCTACTAACTTTTCTAGGTGTCAATAACCAGCACTACGTGGCATATACACCCATCAAGAAAATTTTAGGACTTTTTTGGTATAAATTCACGTCCGACGGCTGGTTTTGATTATCATCTCTGAGTTATATAAGTAACTCTTAACTGTAGTTGGTGATTTATAGTCTCCAAGTCAATTTTAGGGTTGCTAGGGTATGCTCTAGTTTGAAGCCAGAATTTAGAAAATTCCTATCCCTAAAGAAAAGTGTGCTTGTGTCAACTGGAGGCAACTAATACTGTGAATCTAGTTTTGTGGCAGTAGTTTGTTCAACATTATGGTAAACAGAATTCTTAACTATATGCCGAACATGTCATTCTATTTTCCAGATTTATATTTTTCCCCGGATTGCTTAGTATCTCATGTGTGATTTAATGCAGGTCGCAGAGGAGCTGACATCGCTGTGGAAAATTGCATACCCCACAGCAATAACAGGCTTTCTTTTACATTCCAAGTCCATCATTGCTATGCTCTTCTTGGGACGTCTTGGGGACATTCAGTTGGCTGGGGGCTCACTTGCGATTGGGTTTGCAAACATAACAGGTTATTCTGTCATTAAGGGGCTAGCCATGGCAATGGAATCCATATGCTCACAGGCTTATGGAGCCAAAAGGTTTCCAGTCCTCAGCCAAACATTAGTAAAAACTATATTCATCATAGTACTCACCATGATACCAATCTCCCTATGGTGGTCAAACATTGATCCCATCCTTCAATGGTTAGGTCAAGATCAAGACATTTCATCAGTGGCTCGGTCATATATTGCATTCTCTATACCAGAGTTAATAGCCCAGTCTTTCCTCCATCCCTTAAGGGTCTTCTTAAGGGCCCAAAATATAACCAAACCCCTCACTATATCAGCAACTTTTTCAATGATCCTCCACATCCCAATTAACTACATACTTGTAGAATATACAGATTTAGGGGTAAAGGGAGTCGCTCTGGCTTCTGCCTGTAATACAGTAAACTTAATCTTGGGTCTGTTAGTATACCTCTTTCTATCTACAGAAGCAGTAAAACCATGGCATGGGCAATCAGTTAGCACATTCTTCCAAGGCTGGAAGAGGTTGCTGGCATTAATGGTGCCAAGTCTATTCTCTGTGTGTTTGGAGTGGTGGTGGTATGAAATAATGGTATTATTATGTGGACTGCTTATTGATCCACAGGCAAGTGTGTCCGCAATGGGAATTCTTATACAAACAACAGGATTGATATATGTCCTTCCTTCCTCGTTAAACATGGGTTTATCAACACTTGTTGGTCAAGCGTTGGGCGCTGAGCAGCCAGCAGTGGCTCAAAGGACAACCATAATTGGCATCATTGTGGCAACTGCGTGTGGACTACTGGCCCTTACTTCGGCAGTTGCAGTAAGAGATGTGTGGGGGAAGCTGTATACAAGTGAGCCACAGGTTCTCGCCTTGACATCGTCTGTCCTACCTATATTGGGCCTTTGTGAGCTAGGCAACTGTCCCCAAACAGCTGCATGCGGAATTCTGGTGGGCTCTGCCCGGCCTAGGCTTGGTGTTTATATAAATTTTGTTGCTTTCTATCTAATTGGTTTGCCAGTTGCAACTCTCTTGGCTTTCAGACTGAACAAGGGCTTTTTGGGGCTGTGGTATGGGCTAGCTGCAGCACAAGCTTCGTGTGTGTGCATGATGATATGTTCTCTGGTTTGCACCAATTGGAAACACCAGGTTGAGAGGGCAAAGAAACTGACTCAGATCCCACAAAATCAAGTCAGTCTTCTTGCTTAATTCTACTTTTCCAGAATCCATAATAATAAAGCTTTTGTATCGTGACATGAGATAGTATTAACTGAGATAGTAATGGAAGTCCTTCTTGTTATTTCTATTTGACAATGAACATGCTATATTTTGAATACTTCCAACCAGAAAAAATTGATATGCATATCCGATTTCGAAAAGCCCCTAAATCAGAACTTGTAGGTGAACCAAACTATTCAATCTCTTCTTAGATAACAGCACTAACAATATTAAAGAATGTTAATTAAACTAAATCATATTTTTCTCATGCCTAGGAAATGAAATACCAAAATAAATATTTGTCACTAGAGAAAATTTTCAGTATATGCTGAAAGCTAGCATGAATGAGAAAAAAAAAAAAAAAAAGGACCACACCTGTGCTATTTGGAGAGGCAAAACAGGTACAACCTTGAATACCAGCATCTTTGTTGCCTGAACTCTTCTATTTATAAATCTTGGGAATCTGAATTTCATGCATGGTAATCTTTGTTTCTCTTCATAAGAGCCCTCAAGACACATGATGAGAGTCACTATTCCTGACCGAAATTATTTAGAAGAGAAAGCATCTCACAAACTGTTGCAGATGATAACTGATATAAGTAGAATATACACAATATTTTACCATAAGAGATAAACAGCAGTAGCTAGTACTCAGCGTAACCCTGTGAGCAATTCTGTGGCTCTGCATCCATGCTACTATAAGACAACAGAGCCAATGATAAACGTGGCTAGATGTCCCAGAACATCAAAGGTTATACAATTGATACCACAAGGATTGCACTAAAAATGAAAAAGAGACATAATAAATGTAAAAGAATATGAAAACTTCCATTGCTAAATAAGTAAACAATTGAGATGGTGTATGCTAATCAATAACAGGAGAGGCACTCTAGAAGACTATTATAATAACTTCTATGTTTGACAAAATTACTGACCCTATACAGTCTCATCATTTGGTAAAAAATACAATAAACTGAAGTTGAAGCACACCAGAAACACTGAAAACAGACCAATATCTTTAGCAGTAAATAACCAAAAAGTTGAGACAAACCCCAAAATTTAAAAACATCAAAGAACATTCAGCTCAATGATTAATGGTTTGTGTTTGAACAATTCATTTAATGAAATTTCCATCACACTGGAAGGTAGAATATCAATTTCTTCTAAGTTCTAAAACATTGGATAAAATATTGAGTATTCATGGCCCCTATAATGCCATTGCCCCGCTCTCATAGAATGACCCTTCTAACTAGGTGGCTTGGCAGATCCACCACACAGCCAAATAGCACCGCCCTCCCCAGGCGGCTCCAAGCGGTGATAGATTCGCTCGATTTAACACTCCTAATAAGCGATAAATATTACTCACAAACGTAATATAACTCAGAAAAAAAAAAAAAAATGAATTAACTCAATAGCCACAACTGGAAACTGAACGTTATTACATGATAGTGATGTTACTATTCAAGGAAGTTTGAATGAAATGCGTACCTGAGCACCGCAGCAATGTGAAGGAATTAGAAATAGAAATAGAAATTGTGGGCAGAACCTGGCGGGATTTAAGGACATTTTTTTAATGGTAAAAGAAGGCGCTCTTTAGCAGTTCAACAACCTTCACATTCATCCCCATTGTCGTTCTCCCATTTTTTTCACTCAAATTTTTAATGAATAATTCTGAAAATAATATCACAAATTTCTCAATTAAAATGATGAATGGAACCATATTTGATTTAAAGAACACCCGAATAGGAGGTTGAAGGTCAACAAAACTAAGTTAATTTAATCTTAATCAACAACACAAATTAGAAAGTTAAGTACAACTGATCAACCACTGAACCAGAGGATCTTGCGGAATTTATTGGTTTTTTTTTTTTTTTTTGAATAGTGAGAAGGCGCTTTATTTGATGGAGGGAAAAAATCAATTTTCCCCTTCAGGTTTAAAAGATATACTATTTTATCCCGCGTGTCCAAAGATTTTTTCATCCAAAAGTTTTCAGATAGTAACACTTTCACCCAAAAGATTATTTGATGATTTAGGAATCCATGATGTTTGAAAAGTATCATGAACACCCCTTAGAGACCGGTTTAATTAAATATTCAACAGTAGTTGACGACGCCTCCTAATGGGAACTTGCGAGAGCCTCGAAACTTTAACTACAGTAGCTACCGGCAGATCTGGAATATATAAAATTTAGCAGGTGAGGTTGGTTGAAATCGATAAGATTATTTATTGTTTATTATAATTAGCGATGGATAATTCGGAGCGCGATGGAGAGGCTGCAGCTCCAAGTAGTTCATCGGCTTCACCTCCTTCCTCTTTTAAGTTGTTTAACCGAAAAGGTTCTGTTCACCAATTCATGGGAGGCGGCAAAAGTAATTTTCATTTTCATTTTTTCATTTTCTATTTATTATTATTGCTGTTGTTATTATCTTCTAATTTCTCTGGCTATTCTCTCTGGATTGTCTCCGGTGTCCTCCAGAATTAAACGGTGTAGTTTCGGTGATTGCTAATATGGTGCTAGGAACATTTAACGCCAAAATGTTAGTGAAACAGACTGTGAATAACATCAGAATGGAAAATTATGAGTATAATTCTTATTGTTTATGTAGGAAATGCTTTGCTATTGAATTTGAAAATAATTATGGGAGTAATGGAAATTGAAAATGTAAAACAGTTACAATTGTCTGTAATGTTATGAGGTTTGCACTGTTTTTACTTTAAAATTTTTGTTAAGGCAAAGATTATACGAATTTGTCTCCTGACACAAAGGGTCTGCTGAAAGACAATATTTTGCAAACTTATTGTGCGAGGCACTTAAGATTTTTAATTGGAATAAGGGCAATACTAAACTTCGCTTTAGTATAATTTTTTTTTTTTTTTTTTTTTTTTTAAGTGATGATTATTTGATGAAATTTTGGTTATTGTTTTCCTTAGTTGCAGATATACTCTTGTGGAAGCGGCGGCGTGTTTCTTTTGGTGTTATTGTTGTTGCGACTGTTGCGTGGCTGATATTTGAGCGATCTGGATTACCGTCATTGTCTATTTGTTCAGATGTTTTGCTGTTGTTGATTGTAGTGCTGTTTGTTCGTGCCAACTTTGCTGCTTATAGAGATAAGTATGCCTAATTTGGATTACAAGTTTCTGTTCTAGTTTTTCTTTTTCTAATACTTGAACCCTTTCTGATGATGATTATCATCTTTTTTACGCAGACAGCTACAGACATTACCAGAGTTAGTATTGTCAGAGGAAATGGTTAATAATGCTGCAGCATCATTTCGTGTTAAAATAAATAATATGCTCTACCTGGCTCATGATATCACAGTTGGCAAGGATTTTAGACTGTTTTTCCAGGTCCGTGTAGATTTACTTTGTGAGGATAACAAAATTAGGCAGCATGTTGTTAGAGTATTAGAATTCTGGTGAATCAGCATTGTGTGGCACTTGAGATTTATTTTTAAAATTCATTTGTTTACACACTTCGCATTCATAAAAAATTTAGTGGGTAAAGAGAGAGAGAGAGAGAGAGAGAGAAGGATAGAAGATTTCAGTGTGATTGCCTATGAGACAAAATTTGCCCATCCTATTTTGGTTGAGGCTAGTTAAGTTGTGATGAGTTTGAGCTGCCTATGAGGAAAACTGTTCCGCAAGCTAAGGTTTGATTGGGTAGACTTAAATAAGAGAAGGGGAGGGAGGAGTGCCATTCTTTATAAAAGTTAGGGTACATTGTTGAATTTTCTTCCACTATCAGCATCTGATGTAGTGAATTCGCAAAGAAGCATGTGAAATGTTATATTTGGGGTTCCAACTCAGGGCTTTGGATCTCTGCTATTAGAATACAGTACTTGGGATGAGTTCCACTGAAATTACAATTTTCTTTTCACTTAATTGTTCATTATCACTGACTGAATTAAATATTTTATGTCTAACCAATCTATTGTCAACTTGACAGGTGGTGATCTGTCTTTGGCTCCTAAGTGCCATTGGTAGCTACTTCTCTTTCTTCAGTCTAGCCTATATAGGTATGTACATTCATCCACTTCTATTTTTTTCAGTATTTTTTTTATTTGTCATCTTTAATCGTTTAAAAAATGCTTTCTACGTAATTTCAATAGTTTGTTTTGCAAAAGTTCATTGCAATTTTTTTCCTATGATGTAGGGGAGTGATTATTAGCTTTGAACCTTTGTTGCAGTAGGAATAAGTCAGTAAAGTCTCCTAGCCCAAAATTGCAAATATTATTTCTGAAGATTTTATGGCAATAACTACTGGCTTTTTTCAAAAACATGGCATTTTTGCATTCCTACTTTTGTACAATCTTCAAACATTTAATTAATGGAGGTGGTATTGTATCAATTAGTTTCCCTGAATGGCTTATTGAAAGCCAATTGAATATGATATTGTTTACAAATTTGCGTATATTTTGGTTACAGGAACTATCTTATCCATTACTGTTCCAGCAATATACAGCAGATATGAAGAACATGTGGATAGATGCTATGGGTTGATCCATAACAAGTTAAGTCAGCAGTATAAGATAGTGGATGATAATGTTATTAGCAGAATTCCACGGACTTTAGCCAAGGAAAAAGATACATAATGTCTGATATTTTTTATCAAAAGCAAGAATTAAAACTTAGATTGATCAAGAGTGAGTCCATTTTCATAATAGTAGAGCATTAATGGAGTGTCGGGAACTAACATGAAGTTGTTGGAAATGTTTCTTCACCTTTCATTAATGGTAGATTGGTATGAAATTTCAGTGTCTCGTTTAAGTCATTTGTTGTAATGTTTCATCTTCACTGGGCTAGAACTTTGAAATTTTCCTAGTTTCTTTATGGAAACTTGAATGCGTGAATAATGTCCGGGTTTTGGGTACAATTTCAGCGAGGAAGGTGTAATAAAAAAAGTTGCTTTGGCAACTTGATGTTGTGTTGCTGGTAACAGGAATCGTATTTCTTCCTCTACAGAGCAGGGCTGTCGTTTGATGTGATGATATTCAGAAAGATCATGTAGGACGATGTTATCAACTGGGATTTCTACACGTGTCCATCATTAGTATTTTGTAGTCATTACATTTTGGTGGCTAAATGTAGATGGGAAATGGCAAAATTACACTATTTTTCAAAGAAAAATAAATAAACTATGAAATTTGCACATTCATCTCGTTTCTATGAACCAATCAACTTTGGTTTTGTATGTTACAACCAAATAAATAGTTTACGAATTATTCAGTGTGCTACTGCTACCATTCTATTTTTCTTATATGATTACACATAATTCGTAAATTATGTTGAGATATTGGAGAAAACTAATTATAGATATCTGTTCTCGATGCCTTATGCTGCCTGCAGTTTCCATGGCCTAACCCCTGCCGGCAGTTTCTATGGTCTTTGTCTGCACTTTCTATGATCTCTGCCTGCAGTTTTTATGGTCTTACCTGATATGGCCTTATTGTTAGGATAAGACTCGAGATACTCCCAATAGAGCTTCAGTATAATAAGGATGAATATGTATTCTTGTATCTGTATAGTAAGGATGCATATGTATTTGTTAATATGATAATTTTTATCTAGTTTTATTTTTGAAGATAAGGAATTTATATTTTATTTTAGTTGTGAAAATGTTGTTAGTTTTTAATAAATTTTATTCATTTTTCATTGTAATTTTATTATTAACCGCTAAAGTTCTAATGTTTTTATTCTATAATTATCAAAACTCAACCGGAGATCACCATAAAATATTACACAATACTTTTAATAAAGCATAAAGAAAAGTGCAATTGATAGCCTATATTGATATGTACATTCATCCACTTACTCCTATTCTTTTCAGTATTAGTTTGATTATTAGCTTTGAACCTTTGTTGCCATAGGAATTAGTCTCCTAGCCCAAAATTGCAAATATTTTTTTCTGAAGATTTTATGGCAATAACTTCTGGGTTTTTTTCAAAAACATGGTATTTTTGCTTCCTGCTTTTGTACAATCTTCAAACACTTTTTTTAATAAATAGAGGTGGCATTGTATAAATCAATTTTCTTGAATGGCTTATTGAAAGCCAATTGAATATGATATTATTTACAAATTTGCCTATATTTTGGTGACAGGAACTATCTTATCCATTACTGTTCCAGCTTTATACAGCAGATATGGAGAACACGAGGATAGATGCTGTGGGTTGATCTGTAACAAGTTAAGTCAGCAGTATAAGATAGTTGATGATAATGTTATAAGCAGAATTCAACGGACTTTAATTAGCCAAGGAAAAAGATACATAATGCCGATATTTTCTATCAAAAAGCAAGAACTTTGAAATTTTCAATGATCATGAGTGAGTGTGAGCCCATTTTCATAGTAGTAGAGCATTGGAGTGTCGGGAACTAACATGAAGTTGCTGGAAATGTTTTTTCACCTTTCATGAATGGTAGATTGGGTATGAAATTTCAGTGTCTCTTTAAGTCATTTGTTGTAATGTTTCATCTTCACTATCACTTGGGCCAGAACTTTGAAATTTTCCTAGTTTCTGTATGGAAACTTGAATGCGTGATAAATGTCTGGGTTTTGGGTACAATTTCAGCGATAAAGATGACAATGGGCCCAATATTTTTGGGTACCCAGCCCGGCTCATCTCGAAAAGGTCAGGCTTGGGCTTGGGCTTGATTTTGAGGCCCGACCTCGGGTATGAGCTGAGCCTGGGTATGTCTTCAAGCTCAACCCGACAATTTTAGTATTAATTATACTAAATTATCCTTATACTATATATTTAATTACAAGATTATCCTACATATATATACTCATTTTTCACAAACCTTACATGGATGGATTGATGGATTTTGTGAAAAGTTATCTATATATTTGGTAAGTATTCAAAAATAAATTAATATTTAAAAATTGTTTCTAGAATTACAAATATAAAAAAAATTAAAATTTATTAATATTTAAAAATTCACACTATAAAAATGGACGGACTTAGAGGGGGCTTGAGATTAGAAAAAGCTCATCGGGATGGGCTTGAGTTTTACTTGTTATACCCGTGATGGGTTTGGGTCAAATTTAAGCCTTTGTCATGAGATCGGGTTTGAGCTTAGGCTAAGGGGTACCTGATCCGGCCCAGCCCATTGCCATCACTCAGCGAGGACGGTATCATAAAAGAAGTTGCTGGTACCAGAAATTGTATTACTCTTCCTTCGCAGAGCATGGCTGTCGTTTGATGTGATGATATTCAGAAAGATCATGTAGGACGATGTTATCAACTGGGATTTTTACACGTGGCCATCATTAGTATTTTGTAATCATGACATTTTTGTGGATTATGTGGATGAGAAACAGCAAATTTACACTCCTTTTCTTTGAAAAAATAAATAAATAAAGTGTGAAATTTGCACAATCATCTTATTTCTATGAACCAGCCAACTTTGTTTTTGTATGTTACAATTCATAAATTATTTTGAGGTATTGGAGAAAACTAATTTTTTTACCGTTTTTATTTTCATTTAAAAAATGGGAGAAATAAATAATTATAGATATCCAGACTTGATGGACTTATCCTTCGCCAACACTCCCTACGGTGTTAGTAATACTAAAAAACGTCTTAAGAGATCACCATCGATTATTAAAAATGCCTACGGAATGCATTAACTTAAATTTCTGTCTTTAGTGCAATTATCTATTAGTAGAGTTATAGTAAGTATAAATATATACCCACTATTGAAAATTCATTGATATTATATTTAATGTAAATATATACAAATCAATATCTAGCATAACCTTTTTCTTAGTTCTCTTTTCCACAATTAGAACATTCCTTTTTTAACATCATTTTGAATCCTTAATAATCAAATTGCAAATTGAATTGTTGTACTTGTATATATCAAATTCAAATGAATAGCATTGTTATTACTGATTAAGTGATTAGTAAAATTCATTAAAAACGAAAAAACGAGCGAGAAGATTTCGTTTTATGGTAAAAAAAAAAAATTTCATCTCAATTATTTTTCAAAAAAAAAAAAAAATACTAACATTCAATATTAATATGTCATCAAAAATTTAACGTCTCATTCCAGAAATGAAATGGTGCCAATAAGAAATCCAATTTATGTTTTGAAAATGCTTATATTCTTTACTCCTATGTTTATATTGATTATGTTAAATGGCTGATTAAATGACTGTTAATTCCTCTGTATGGAAAGAAATGGCTCTTTAGTTATGTTTCATTGTTTTGCTATTTCTTTCTTCGTATAAATATAATAATGAGGGGGAAATTGTCAAATTTCAAAGATTTGCTTCTTCAAGGACAAGCATGTAAAAACAAAATAGCTAAGATTTAGCAGCAGACAGTTGTTAGGGCTAAAAATCATTTTGGGCTTGACGAAGCCCGATAACAAAATAAACATGTTACGGTCCAAGGCCTCAACCCAATCCCGATTTAGCCTACGCTTAAAATCACCTTGTGAACTACCCACTCTATTAGTTGAGCTATCATATAAGTTAAGTTAAATTGAGTTTCAGCCCATTAGTCTGCAACAGTCCATAAATAAGAAATCAGAATCTCATTCTATTACCTCTTCTACTAAGATTTCAAATCTTTCTCAAACTATTAAACTTAATATGATAAGGTCAAGAACTCATATCTCTTTCATGATAGAGATTATCTCCCAAAATAGGATTTAGTGTCCTACTAAGATTCAAAATCTTACTTAAACTATTAAACTTAATCAAGGCCAAGAAATCATATTTCTTTTTTGATAGGGATTATCTCTCAAAAAAGATGACTTAATGTCCTACTATGATTTCAACCCCATGGGTTCACTATAAAAATAGAGGTTTGCCCTCTCATTAGGCATGCAATCTCCTATAGTCAATCTATACTACTCAAAATCATCTATTTGCTCATAAAGTTCTTGCTCCCGAGAACCCGACGCCTCCACCGTAGTCCTAACTTCCGATAAGACTCTTGATAATTCTTTATCTCCTTAATTCTTATCAAATAATCTCTTTCAGCCTCGCTAACTTGAGCATCGGAGTGCCTACAGCAAACACCACTCCGGTGTTTTCCGGAAGCTTCACGCTTGTCCTTTCATATGTGCAGGTCTAGCGAATTATCAGTGACCTCAACCTCACGGGATCAGACCATATTTTCATAACGGTAGATTTTTTGCATCTACAATAGTTCAATGGACAATATATTAAATGATTGTGTAATCAAGAAGGCCGACCTCGAGATGAATAGCCAACATCAAGGTGATTGGTAAAGAAAGAAAGATCTAAAAAATTTGCCTGGAGGTTGGTTGTGGTGATGGTGATGTCCAATTCAAAATGGGATTATTTGGAGTAAAATTGAAGTTTTCATACCAAACATAATTGAGCTTGAGGTTGGCCAAGGTCTCGTTTTTTTGCTTGCATTGGCAGATATCTCACATTCATATTCAAATAAGAAAGGGTTGTTTCACCTTCCTGCCTTCTTCCCCAAGGCTTTCTAATTCTAGACATGGCTGTTAAAGCTTTAAATTTAAAATTAAAATTGAAAAAAAAAAAAAAAATCATTACTGATTTAGAAGATGGTATTGGACTAAAGCACCCTTTCTAGATTTTACTCAAACTATAACATAAAAATACTTTATTAATTCAATTTAAGAAAATTTATAAAAACACAAAACCCATTTACTATGGAAACTATTGGGTATGTTTAATCTATTATTGTGTTTAAAAATACCTAAATGAAAATGAAACAAACAAATAAATAATTTAGGATTTTTTTCTACTCTAAGGTTTAATCAAACATCAAAATGCTCCCTGAGATTTCGGAAGTAAATAAATCCCCTTATATACAATATTTACCTAATTACCCCTGTTCCATTTATTTTAACATAAAAAACTAAACAATAGAAGTATTTATGTTATTATTATAATCATAAGAGGATTTTTGTTATTTAATTATATTTGAAAGAGATTATTATTATTAACTCAAAAGAGAAAAAGGAATGGTATTTATGTGATACAAAAAATAAGATGGTGCCAATAAGAAATCCAATTTATGTTTTGAAAATGCTTATATTATTTACTCCTATGTTTATATTGATTATGTTCAATGGCTGATTAAATGGCTCTTTAGTTATGTTTCATTGTTTTGCTATTTCTTTCTCCGCAAAATAATGAGGGGGAAATTGTCAAATTTCAAAGATTTGCTTCTTCGAGGACAAGCATGTAAAAACAAAATAGCCAAGATTTAGCAGCAGACAGTTCAATGGACAATACATTAAATCTGACTCGAACACTGAATGTTTTAAGGGAGCAGAGCCTTCTATGTATATCACAGAGCAAATACCAGCATCAATCTATTCTCTCCAACGAAAACCACAACCCATAATATAATATGACACAGCACAAATGCCTCCAAAGATAAAATTTGGATTTTTACATGCTCAAAGATTTGGTTTAATCTAGCTGCTAATACACTCTATGCCTGGAGCAGTTCCTTCGCCTTGTTCAACCAAGCATTGTAGATTTCATCCGAGAACAGAACAAAGTGCACCTGCAAAGAGCAACCATGTTAAATGGCAATAAGTATTTAAACTTAAATGATCTCATTGACAACATTTCCCAGGAATGTGGAAAAGGTATGATATCAGACATCCCACTAGAATTATAAGACTCAGTAAAGTTCCCAGTTTCAAATCCAAACTAAGGAAACTAGGGTCAACGATCATTTGAAATACTTCAGAGGATAATCTTCACTAAAATTCTCATCACAACATAATAAGGCCTTGGTAGCAGACCGATGATATTTAAGCCCAAAGTTATCAGGGTCTTTGCAACCTGAAGCACTTTCTACAGCATATTAAATGAAGAAGCTTTTGACAGAGTTATACTAAAGTGGCAACCGACCATGCAAAGTCTGAAGACATATTACTATAGGAGATTATGACTCTCCTTCAGCGGAACTCAAAATAAATCACATAATGTAAAATTGTTAGAATCAATATAAAAAAGTTTAAGAGTTTAGAGCTGCATCTAATACCTCTTTAAAGTCGTTTGCAAATTCTTTGACTGTAGATATAGCTATTGTGGCGGCTTCCTCGTAAGGATAACTGACAAAAAAATAAAAAATAAAAAATGAAAGGAGAGAATGAATTATTAACTTCTCATAGAAAATACATAGTGAAATTCTAAATCAATAATTCCCATTGAGATACAATGCTTAGAGTACCATCTAATACTTTTTTAAATGAACTTGAGTGCCTATGAAAAGCTAAAAATTAGTATGAGTAAGGCGATATACAAATGCAAAAACCTTAATTCAATAAATTCATTTCATACAAAGTGTAAGTGGCTATAAGGTAGTACATGTCACATAGAGAGTCAAAGTCTTCAATCTTACCCATATACGCCACATGATATAGCAGTAAACGCAATGTATTGAATATTGTTCTCTTTGGCCACACTCAAGCTGTTTCTGTAACAAATTTTGGAAAAAAAGTAGATTGAATTTAGAATGACAAATTTAACTATTACCGGTTTGGTAAAAAAAGACCAAACTTACTTGTATGCATTTTTCAGGGAGGTTTCAGGGTTGCTATCAGAATCATATATGGGACCAACAGTGTGAATCACATGGGATGCAGGCAATTTAAACCCTCTGCGTAGTTTCAGCATGTTAGTATGCTCATTATGCTCAATAATGAACTGATAGTACAGGTATCAAGAACAGGCTAGTTGGTATAACATACGGGGTAATTCTCGCTTCTCCTGTTGGACAGCGTACTCCAGGTCGGATTTCTGGGACCTTATAGCAAGCTTCTACAAGTTCTGGTCCTGCAGCCTTATGTATGGCTGAAAAACATATATAACTAAAGTTACTACAATTTTGTTTAAATAACACTCGTGGCAGAAGATAAAAATAAAAACTCAAAAGGGAGAGTACCTCCATCTGCGCCACCACCTCCAAGCATTCTCTCATTGGCTGGATTAACCTACAGTAGGTAGCCATAAATGCAACACTTATCAGTTCCAACATTGCAATCAAAGGACCACTATATTTAGAGCAGAAGAATTTGATTGTCACTCAAAACTCAATAGCTCCCTTTTGTATTAGATAGGAAAAAGTCTATGTTGGATGAATTTATCATATCGTTCGTACACAAATCCAACAAAATCTCATCACCTAAACCATCACAACGATTGGTAAATTTTGAAGTAAATGAATTGGTGGTGGGATCTTATTGGATGGGCGTATCCATGATTTCACATGCTCAACAAATACTTCGTTCTTAGGAAAAAAAATTTTTACCAGTCCACCAACCCATTAAACAAAGCGAAGACTACCAAAAATCAATTCCCTTAATTCAAATTTTCAACATGGTTGGTAGTGATCCCAACAAAAATCCTTCATAAGAAACACAGTATAGCCATATGAATTCAATAAAATTTTCCCACAGGTACTTACATCAAGAATCACCTTTTATAAATAACATGAAATTAAGCACAGAATCCACAGGAAATCGATAAAAATAAACTAAAGCTTCTCAATCCATAATATCAAACCACACGCACAAACCAGGAAAGAAAAAAAAAACACAAACCCAGTAAAATATACTTACAATGGCATCAGAAGAGCCATCAACAAACCACTTAGTGATATCCCCTTTCTTAATGACGAGAGCGCTGGACTCAGACAACTTGAAATGACCATCCTGACCTCCTTGTCCACTCGAAGACGACATTCTCGCAACTCTAACAGCAAAACCACTTGTTGTTACAGTAGCTGGGGATGATGATGAAACGAGTTCTCGAAAAGGGTTGGTGGTAAATAAATATCTGGGTTTTGTGTACGATTTCAGTGAGGAAGGTGTAACAAAAGAAGTTGTTTTGGTAAGTTGTTGTGGTTGTGTTGCCGGTACCAGGAATCGTATTACTCTTCCCCTACAGAGCATGGCTATCGTTTGATGTGATGATTTTCAGAAAGATCATGTACGACGATGTTATCAACTGGGATTTTTACACGTGTCCATCATTAACATTTTGTAATCATTACATTTTGATGGATAATATAGATCTTTCTATGAACCAGCCAAATTTGTTTTTGTACGTGACAAACAAATATTTATTTTCTATTTTTCTCTGTTGTAAGTATCTATAACTTATAACAAAAATTTCTAGTTGAGATATTAGAGAAAATTTAATTTTCTATAATTACACCACCATGACAACCATCATCTACGTTATCATCGACAGTTACAGATTTACAAGATCCTGCAAGCCACCACCAAGTAATGGTTGCCAAAACTCCTACGGCTAACGTTGAGAGAAGACTGTTGAAACTAGAAGATAATAATATAGTAGTAATTATACTATAATTGACATAGATAATTATATATGTTGTTTCAAATGTCAAACAAATAATAAAATATATCTCTTTAATTAAAATAAAAAGAAGCTAAATTTCCAACTTTAATGATATTCATATTATTTTGTTTTAAGTTAAACAAAAAGGAAACCAATGAAGTATAGCTTTCTGATTGAAATACAAATCAAAGAGGTAACTCTCACAATCTTTTACTATCAATATATATATAGAGAGAGAGAGAGAGGCCTAGCGGGTGCCAATAACCACCTCAGCAAGAGACTCCTACCCTATTCACCCTTCTCCTCTTCTCACAACCAAACAAACAGAAGGTCAAATGAACATATACAAATCAAACCCAACTCCTAATCTAGAACTGAGCACCCTCAAATGTCTGCCCAAATTGCCAGTTACCAGGTGCTACGTTGTTGCTTGTCACAGTCTTCCCGTCACTTGTGGTCACTTGGAATGACAAGCTTTGGCCATTCATGTAGTTGTTGCTCTGCCAGTTTTGGCCCCAATTTCTAGACATTGGTTGCCATCCTGTTTTTGATCCTTTTATTGATACTGCTTTCACATCTCCAGCTCCTCCCACATTTGTTATCAACACCAAGTTGAAGTATGAGTGACCATTTATTGTGAACCTAATTCCTCCTTTCTTCGTACAGGGGACTCTGTCAAACCAAATACAAAATTGTTAGAAAATTGATTAGTTGATTCTGGGTAGTTTTGTGATTAAGTTTTATTACCTTCTGAATGATATGGGGACGATTCCAGCTTTGTATTGAGCAATTTGTAAGAAAGCAGGCTCTGCCATGTCGAAGTGTTGTAGAGGAGGATTGCACCAACCTCCATTGTCATTAGACAAGGCTAAGTTAGGGGGACAAAAGTTAGTTGCAGTAACCATAATCGATCCAGGGAGACACCATTTAGGATCACTGTCACATTTCATTTCATAACATGACCCGCAGCTGAGGCCATTGTTGAACAAAGCAGTGCTAAGTGCTGCAGTGTTAGTCCCATAACCTTGGCTATACAAGTTGCCATAACCACAAGCACCCCCTGAAAAATATCATAAATACTCATTAAATTATGAACTTCAAACATTACTGTTAAAAAACAGAAATTTGCTTTAAATTACTTACCCATTGTGCCAGAAGCATCACCCCCACCATAGAATGTAGCATGACCACTTTCCCAACCTCCATTGTCACCATAAGTGCCTTGGATGCACAAATGGAGCAAAAAGAAGAGAAGGGTCACTGAAGAAATTGCTGAAAGTGCCATTGAACCTGTCAATTTGTGTTGAAAAGAGGATAAAAAGAGAGAAAGAGAGAGAGTTGTGAAGTGATTGGTGCTTGGTGCTTGGTTAAAGAGGAAGAAAGGTGAGTTATATAGAAAATGTGAGATGTGGACCTGTAAATGCAGAGGAGACAAGTTATCAGTGCTCACGTATTGAGAGAGAGAGAGGGTAAACCACAAACATGGAATCTCAATTGCAGGTAGTTTACGTGGATCAAACTGCACATGCGAATGTTGAACTGAGTTAGACTACCAACTTCATAACCAATGGCCCCCACCCTCACATGCTACTGATGTTCTTATTTTCTACTTCTGTCATCTCTTTAAATTCTTTGTTTTCTTGGAAATTTCTTCTGAAACTACCTGAATTACCGCTAGTCAGTGAAACATTTAAGGCTTTGATTGTGGATTATGGTGTCTTCAAGTCCAACTTTGTAGGCTGTGGAAAATAAATTACACTAGAAAGTCATCTGCAGAATTAGTCAACAATCAGTTTTCTAAATCTTATGTTTATATTACTGTGCTGGTTAGGGTGTCCAAATGTATGTTCCATCGTGTTGAAAAACGTTCCATTACATGGTCTTGACACGAATCATTCCGTGATTACTTGATATTCGAGAATTACAACATTTTAACCGTAAATGTGTTACATAGTACGAACACGAATCATTCTAAGATATTGGTATAATACCGTTATCTAAAACGGTTAAAAATCATTGACTTTAAATAAGTAAAAAGTAATTCTCACGATAATTACTCCTTATCTAATACTTTAAACACTTCATTTGTCAACGTGTTATATAATCTTGATCTGAACCATTCTATAACATCGATAGATTACTATATTATCGAAAAACTATATAAAATTCGCATTCGCAACAATTAATGCAATTGGGTATACATAAAATTTTGATCTTTTCATTAATTTTGAAGCATATATAGTAGAGGATTGGTAGGTGCCGACCTTCAAATAAAAAGCATCTAAAATTGAACCTTACTTAATTAATTAAATAATTACCATTAATCAACCCTTTAATTTATATGTTAATCTCAATGTAGCCAATAAAATTCATCTGTCGGTTATTATAATAAAACTTTATATAGTAAGACAATCCACATTTATATTTCATCGGCTACTATATCGGTAACACACGTGGGAATCTGGGATTGGATATCATTTTTATAATATTTTTCATGGAAATAATTAATAATTGTAATTTGATTTTAGAAGAGTTTTAAGAAATGGGGGATTTGTTTAGGGACCTACCATGTTAGAGCACATGGAAGGTCCGAATTTGGCGGTCCATGGATTCATGCATCACTTTCATATGAAAATTAGGGTCTTATTTTATTTCTATTTTTATTGAAATTAAGACAAGTTAACGAATTGGATAAGGAATATTGAAATATGGAAATGAGAAATTGACTTTACAATATATTTATATAATTAAATGTAACCAACAATGAAGATGCTTTTGGGTTTCAATATTCAAACTTTGATTTTATTAATGTATTGGAATTAAAATATTGAGTTACCCTTCTCACCAAATCTTTCAATTTGTCCCCTTCTATTTAGATTCATCTTAAACCCTAATCAACCTTCTATCCCTCTCTTGTTATTATTGATTAATATTAAGATACATTGAAGAAACACTTTATATATCTCACTTAAAAGATCGAAAAGAGTGTCCGTGGCATACCAAGTGAGATGCCCAAGAGAGAAGGAACAAGGGGAAGAGTTGACGAGGAATTTCATGATAACTATAAAAGTATATGAAAGTTAAAAACTTATATGTGAAATTAACACATTAAACTACATATGGGTTTATTTCATTCGTCCCATGAGTAATATTTTAGTCGAAAATGCTCTTTACGATTACCAAATGGGTTTTTAGTAATTTCAGGGAATATTCAATTCAAAATTTTATTGTTAGGAAAGTTCTGTTATTCATAATTCTCAATAGATTTACGCAAAATAGTTCATCCAAATAAATGTTATTTAAATTTTAGAATGGAGCAGCAAAAACAAAAGCCCGTATAGCTCAGTGGTAGAGCGTCAGTCTTGTAAACTGAAGGTCTGTAGTTCGATCCTGCATGGGGGCAATTTATTTTGGCCTTTTGGTTTGGTTTTGAGTTTTACAGTCTTATTATTATTTTCTTTTCTCAGCATAATTTCAAGCAAAATTTGGTTCATATTAAAAGATTTAGGACAGATGTTTCCCTATTCAGAAATCTATAGAAAAGCTTATGGTTTCAGTTTTTTCATATCAATATTTTTTCTCTTCTTATAATTGCATGATGAAAATATGTGAACCTAAAGCTCCAAAATGAAAACATGGGGACAACATAGAGCTAGACCAAACTTGAAAGGAGATCCATAAAGGGCAGGGCAGACGTGAATATTTATTCCAAATGTTGTGTGTTATCAACCCATGAAAGTGGCTTTCACAAGGGACTGTCTGTTATGCTCAAGTTGTAGGGACTAAGGAAAGATCCCCTTAACATGGCATGGACCATTTTGCTGAATAGTCATTTTCAATTGATAGTTAATATTTATGGCACCCACAAACAAACCCATTTGGATTTTGGACTTTCCAACTCTCTGCAATTTCTGATCACTACAAATATGCAAGTATGCAACCCCTACCATGTGCAGTTTAATTGCAGCTTGGTGGTGTAGGCCCTGTAGGCCATACTTGACCCTTTTTAACACTACAAGTCAGTTGTGTTTTCCGGCATGGTTTCTGATTTGTAATCCTCAGGAAAGTGTTGTTGCGTGGGAGAATAATAGCAGCAGCTTTCTTTAGTAATTGATTGATTTCTTTTCTGCATTTATGGCAAAACTAGTATTCTAGTCCTTGTTGAACTGTCATTGATATAAAATTTTGGTTTTGCCTAATGCCCTCTAGTTATTTGGTGAGGACATTAATCTGAAGGCGTTACAAGTAGATATGGGGAATTCCAGAAACGGTAAGTATCTGTGAGCCTCATTATTGCTAGTGTTCTCAGAGTTGAATTGTGGAGACAAGAGTATTCTCACTTCTCAGTTTATTGTGTCTCAAAATCAAATAATCAGTCCTGCATTTCACATCATTTGGCAAATGCACAAAATGGTCCCTTCCTTTTCCAAATTTCATTGATACAAAACTGTCTCTGAACAAGATTGCATTCAATGTAGACACAGAACTTAACCCAGGAAAAACAAATAAGTAAATAACTTGATGGAACTATTTGGGGAACCTGCACGCCCTGATACACAACAAAAGAAAGTTTAAACCACCACATATTGGTGATATTGCCAACTAATGAATATTACCGTGGCCTTACGGGCGGGTTAAAGGCCAGCGCCATTCATAATTCTTGCAATCACATTCGATGTTTGGGGAGTGGGGAAGCTGTAAACCAAACGCATTAGGGAACAGGTAAGATTTAAGAGAGAGGAGGAGAGAGGAAAAGAGATAATATATATAAGAAGTAAGATTAGAAAAAATTTATTCCCCGGTGATCAGAGTTTAAACAGTAACAAACAGACAATACAATTGGGGGCTTCTGGCAAGAAAAGATGCACTCTCTACTCCTTAAAAAGGAAACTTCTATTTCCTGATGAGTGCCCCAAAGAAATGAATTTTGAATTTGGCAGGGAAAGAACTCACGAATATCTTAACAAATGGTGAAGCTATTGAAAAACCTAACTCCCACTCACATAAAAGAATTGAAATCAAATACATAGTACCTTCGGCTGTCAATAAGGTCAGTCTATGAACAATTCAACAAACACGGTGGACAGACGATTGGCAACATTTATCAGAATGTGCTGCTGCTTTCACTAGCAGAAATTGAGGGGCCTTCAGACTTCACTAGATGAGAACCTCTGCTATTGATATCAAGCCCCTGCAGTCTGCCGAGGGGATCCTGCTGCAACATATCTGAGAAGGCATGTGACTGGGATGTGGCTAGCATAGGCTGATGGGGACCTGATGTGTTAGGCTGAAATGGATGCAATTGTGGCATTTGCATGTTCTGGGAATCTCCTGGCCCAGGATGTGGTTGGTGTTGGTAAAATAATTGGCTATATGGAATATGTTGCATGCCTAAGTTGTAGGTATCTGTGGGTGTCATCATTTCTCCAGTTGCAATCTTCAGCCTCTCTACTTCCTTCTTTAGTGCTTCATTCAGAGCTGTGACATAGTCATGAAAAAGTATAACGGTAAGAGATATCAGAAAAAAACAAGAAAAAAGGAAGAAAAATAATATGAGATTATATCTGTTAAGAGATGGACAAAAATGCTGTTACAAACAGGAAATAATGATTATTTTTCAGTTTTTTCAACTTTTATGATGGGGTTATACCATAAAGTTAAGCATAGCATCAATGGTGTGTGAGGTGGGGTCATCGCTTTAATTCTTACCATGAACAAAATAGGGAAAAACAAAAAAGACCATTAGGTAGTAGAATGCCAAGAGAGGACCAATTTGATGCATTGGTAGACCCAAACTATAATTTGAAAATATATCGATCACCTTAAATTAGATGGAGCAGACAGTAGATCATAGAATCTTGCAGTTTATCACATCATTCGTAAAGGTGCATCAAGACAATATCCTGAATTGGGTTAGATAATGTATAGGTTTGCTTATACAGCAAATGAATATTTTCATGCTTTCCTACGAAGCTTGAATGCTACATTTGGCAGTGGTATAGGGTAGGTCTTCAGTGTGGTTCAAGTCTTGCCAAGATGATAAAAAAGGGGAACTTGCCACTTGACAAGTCAACTTAAGCATACAATGTTCAGAAGACAAAAGGGCAGAGATTCTAATGATAATACTAAACTCGGTAAGTGTAAAACATACCATCACGTAACTGAGCCTGTTGTTCCATAGCCTGTAACCGAAGTTTAAGCTCTGTGTTCTCAGTAGACAAATCTGTTGTGTCCCTCTATTGAGAACAAAAGAATAGAACCATAAGTTACTACGTAGATGTGGATAAAAGAATATATGGAAGCAACAATTGATAAAGGAGAGATCAAACAAAACCAAAACTTATGTAACTATTCTTTTTTTAAACTTTTATCTGACCTATCTGGAGTAGAAGCTTCTGAAAGATAGGACGCAATTGTGAACACAAAAAAGAATTGAAGCCAAAGAAAAGAGAAAAAGCAGTCACTAAGTTTTCCTTTACAGGAATCATCAAATATAGTTTTGTTCTTATATTAAGCGAATTGATGTAAATCCACACAATCAGCAAAATACGTACAGTTTTCCTACAAACGGGTTTGACATTATGCAATGGACACCAAGAACATCTCTTAATCCTTTAACTATAATATTTAAAATAGACAAGTGTAAAAAGAAAGACCTGGAATAGTGTGAGTTGTGCAGATAGAGTAGTGGCTTCTGTTTGAAGTGTCTGGACCTTTCTCTCAAGTTCAGATATATAGCGTGCTTTCCTCTCTTTTGAACGAGCGGCAGACTGCCGATTTGCAAGAATCCTGTTTAAAAAATTGATTTGTGAGAGGATAAATAGCACTAAACACAAGGTATGAATTGCACAATCTTGTAAAGTTCCATAAATATGCTAACTCTATCTAATAACCAAAAATATTTTGACTCAAGAAAACAGATTAAAAAACTCTAACTGTATTGTCAATCCTTCATTTCTTTTATTTAAGAAAGAAAAAGAGGATACACTAGATCAGAGGTTAGGAATCTATTTTGTACTATTTTCCAACGCAAAATGCATTGCATTGCCCAAATGTGGAGTAAATGTTTGAAAATGGAGCTAACTATAGTTGAAAGGTAAATTTCAGCAATTTGGCCCAAGTAATAAGAGCATGTCATTCAGTGTAACCACTTAAAAATGTTTTTAGTATTGGGCGGGCAGACTGAAAGGTTCAGTCAAAACCTCATTTTTATGTCCAGAAGTCATATTTTTATATCATCACCAATTGACAGATAACAATTCAAAATACAAGCATTTGTTTCCGGAAGCTGAACCTGCCTAAATTTATTCGGATTTGTCTAATCTAAACATTCAATGACATTGAAAACAAAATTGATATCACTCCTCACGTATATGGGGAATCCAGAGTGATATTTTCAGCCCCAAAAATACATCATCTAAGTAACAAAAGAAAACATAAATCAAATCCAAAAATAAATTACAGCAAAGAAAAGTTGCAAACTTTATTGGCTAACATTACCACATTCAAAAAAAGTTAGTTAACTACGTTCCAATAAAGCTCAAACCATAAATCCCTCCACATAAATCTTCTCTTTTACACACTATAAATGAAAAAAAAAAAATCAACTTTAACCACCATAAAATTCACAAAAAGGGTCTCTAGCTATCCTCCAAAACTTAAATCTTCTCCTCACATTCTTCCTTTGACTAGGGAAATGCTCTGGCATTGCACCTCTAAAAAGTCAATACCACCAAAAAGATAACATTTATCAACGTACGTTACTAAAACTTATACTACATACAATCTACATTTCACTATTACTACAAACATAAATGCACATAATTGAAAACCAAAAAAAAAAAAGACAAATCTTTTCGAAAAAAAACATTAAAAAAAAATCACACCTTTTAGCTCGTTTTGGATCAACGGTCCACAGCTCAGCTAACTTATCAGGATCCATAGCTTTCTTAGCGTCAATAGACTCCATAATTGAGGAAGAAGAAGTGGACCCATCAACTGAATTGCTGTAACGATGGCGTGGCCTGGAAGGGACATTGGCATTGGCGGTATCGGGTTTGGGCAGGTCGTCTTCGGTGGGGGGTTTGGAGCCGAGTTTTTCAATGTCCATGTAACTGCAAAACAAATCGTCCTCGGACCCTCCAAAACCGTCGAACAATGGATCCGATACCAGATCCAGGTCCTCGGGTATCCGGTACTGGACTTCGGATTGTGCTCGGCGGTGGTAGGGCCCACGTGGCGGAGGGTTTGGCGGATCTTGGTTCTCCATATTTTCTGTGAGTTTTCTTGGAGAGAGAGAGAGAGAGAGTGAAGAGTTGTTTTCTGTTCTATGCTCACGCTGTGACAAGCTCTTTTTTTACCTCCTTTTAGTAAAAAAAAAAAAAAAAAAAAAACTCACACTACGATGTCGTTTTAACTCCTCATTCTTTAATTTTCATTTCATCCCTTTTACCTTAAAACCCCAATATATTTATAAATATTTCAAAAAATAAAATAATTCTTCCAATTTTTGTATCGTAACCCACATAATTTAGTAAGTTAATTCACTTTATTAAAGAGATGTTGCGAAATCAATTGCCGTGTAGGTTACAATACAAAGTCGAGAGCTGTCAAATTAGTTGCCACATGGGTGACGACTTATAATCCCCAACTTTATATATATTGATAAACGTTTAAGAATTTGAGTGACATTTTCTATTAGGACAAGTACTCTTTGGTTTGCAAAGAAATGACTAATTAACCACTCTTAGGTGGTCGGGTGAAACGATAAGGACTTTTAAATATATTATTCAATAGGTCTTAAGTTCGATTCCTCTCAGTTGTTAATAGAGGTGGTCACTGGAGGGTTTATCTGATCGTTAACTTTAGGACATTACAGGATTAGTCGAGAAAAAAAAAAAAAAGTAGGATTAATTGTTTTCTTTAATTAGAAATGCTCAATCTGATTACATTTATGATCTTTCATGAATTCAATCTTAAAATGATCACCAAATTATTCCACATTGATGGGTTCTTAGCACCCACTTCACTTAGAGTTAAGGTTCGTTTGGTTCATTATTTTGATACTTTTTAGAATAATATTTTGAAAAAAGTTAAATTTGGTGAGTATTACGATGTAGGATTTGAAAATTAACAAAAATACCTCATATGTTTGTTTATTTACTAAATACCCCTATAATAAAATATTAAAAGTTAACAAAAACACCCTCAACCCACCCATTAAATACCGACAGTCGGCCACCACCGTCGGAGGGTAGCCAGAGTCGCCGTATCGACGCATGACCGACTGGATCTTGCCGGTTTTGCTCCAATATGGCCTTTTTTTCGGCTAGATCCATGGTGGATTTGGTTGGAAAATGACAAATCTACGACTAGATCTGGCCATTGACGGCTAGATCTGACCGCATTTGGTTGTTAAAGACGACCAAAGATACGACCGTCGTTGAAGACCAATGACTGGCTACGGCCAAAGATCTGACCGTCTTTGGCCGTAGATCTGGCATTTTTCGGCCAGATCCATCGTGAATATAGCCGGAAAAAGCTAGATCATCTCATTACCGACCAGATTCAATCAGTAATAAGTCATTATACCAGATTCCAATCAGTTTTCAACAGTGATGACCGAAATTTAGTAAATGTGAGTTGTTGGGGTGTTTTTACAATTTCTACGAAAAATATTTAAGGGTGTTTAATTAAATTAACAAATTTAGGAGGTTTAAAAAAAATTAAATAATATTTTAAAAATTAGTCAATTTTAATATTTAATTTTATTGGGAATACTAAGTATTCCCAAGAGTGTTAAGTAGAATAATTAACGGCTTAGACTGGATCCAACTCATGTTGTGAGATGAAAGAAGGCTAAGCTAAGGCTAAGAACAAAATTCCAATCATAGTATTTCTGTCACTAAAAAGTTGATGTGATGCAGATAGATTGGGAACATTATTGGAGAGATACTAAAAATCATGTTTAATAGCACTAATGCCTTAGTCAGTGGGGTATTGATGCAGGCACATTTTCTTACCACCCTTCAACAACTCCTCCTGTTAATGGTCAACCAATCTAACATTATCTGGTTAAGTCTTGCTTTGTGGGCTCCTCTGATTCTTAACCCTAATTATACGTTGCACAATTTAAACTGGAGGAATAATAGTTTCAGTGTTCTTTAGTTTGCGAACCCTAAACGTTTGCGTGAAGCTTGAAAACAAATTAATTCAGATATGTTAGTGTTGTTCTGAACTTCTTTCAACTGTTTCCTCATCTCTTCCACCCAATAAAGATGATGATTTAATGAGGGGTTAACAGAGTAGGTGAGTGACATGAGATGGTTTGAATGGAAGATGTATGGAAATAGTCAATGGAAGAGAGACAGGTGTTGGATTAAAAAGGGCTATCTGGGGTAGTAAGTTTAACCAGGACTGGACATTTGTGGAGCTATCAGTTGAGTTTAACCAAGACTAGACATTTGTGGGGATGTCAGTCGAGTTTGAGTTGAAGTTCCTTTATGATCATGGAGGATTTGCCTTAACCACATGATCTCCATGTGCCAATCCTTTCTTTCCACGCAATTTAGGCTCTCTTTTATAGATATTAAAGTTTACATTCACACAATTCTCAGGAGGATAAACATGTCCCTATCACATACCAATCACAGAGAAAAAGAAAGAAAACTTTTTCCCATTATTAATCAGAGTTTTCTAATCTAATCATCATACCATTACAGTAATTAAGTTAATGGCTCAAATAAGATAATATTGATGCTGTATTACTTGGTGGATACCATCATTTTTGGCAGCCTGCCTTTAAACTGATAGATTTAGCTTTCACTGTTTCATGTTTATATTAATTGTTAATTATTGTTTCTGCAGTGGTTATGTAGTATCTTATAGTTTGCACTTTGCTGTACAAATAAAAGGGTAGCAACACATTGGCAATATATCAGTACCTGGGATCTGAAGATAGGCATTGGCTGAAATGACAGAACAAAATTACTTCAACTTTTAATTAAAGGAAGATGGGGAGGAGTGGGCGGAGGATTTGGTGCTGAAGAATAAGTATTTTTTAAGCTAATTGAGATTAGGTGGGATCAGGTACCATAATCAATATTCTCTATCACTTGTTCTCTTCAGTTTGATACTAAAGTTTAACCATCTGTATGTCATTTTTTCTCAATTATAGTGTATGTGAAAAGACCCCATATACGTCTCTTGCTCTCATTTGGTATCTAAAACCCTTCTGTACCCCAGTGTCCTTTTGCCATATCCAGACACCCACATGCCCCTTTATTAGACCCTCCATATTCAGCTCAAAACATTAAGAAACTCTCTCTCTCTCTCTCTGTCTCTCTCTCTCTCTTTGCATCTCCAAATTTGGTTTTCTTGTATCTTCTAGTATAGATTTTCAAGCACAAAAATTTCCCAAAACTTCTTTTTTATTTACATGTAATTTTCTTCCATGTTTGGTGTTGGTTTGGGATGATTGAAGATTCATTTATTTGAGCTTGTGAGCAACTTTTTGTAAACATCACGCTTTCAAACTCTGATACTATTAAATCTTTTGCTTTTCTAATCCTAGCCTCCTACCTAGATGATGCCTATTTCTTTTTTTTGTTTGTTTGTTTATTGAGGTTTTTATGTAGGTAAAACCTAACAGAAGTTTTCATAACTTAGAACCACATTTATCTTTCTTTCTCTTTAATTGAGAACAGAACAAGAAGCAGAAGAGAGAAACCAGGTTCAAGCTCAGACTTTTTAGTTTTGTTTGTTCCTTAAGGTTCAAGCAAAAAGTGGCCTCCAAGGTGAAGCAAATAAGTAAAGGCTTTACTCAATACATGAGTGTCATGAATTCTCTTCTTTCAATATCTTTTGTGGTCCGATTCATTGAAGATAACAACTAAACTGATCAAGAAGCAAACTTAGTCAACTGTGATCAAGCAATGGAGAGACTTGATCATCCTCATCGTCTTCATCGTCTACTTCTCGATACACCAAGCACATCAGCAAATAATGGAACTACCAGGACTCGCAATTCTTACACAAATGAAGCCAATTTTGACACCAACATGGTGATCATACTGGCAGCTTTATTATGCGCCTTAATTTGTGCTCTAGGACTGAACTCGATCGTTCGTTGTGCTCTTCGTTGTAGCAGAAGGTTTGCTTTCGAGACCCCGGATGAAACTGCAGCACGTTTAGCAGCCACAGGGCTTAAAAAGAGTGCATTGCGCCAGATTCCAGTTGCAGTTTATGGCACTGCAGGGATAAAGATTAAAGCTACAGATTGTACAATTTGTCTTGGAGACTTCATGGATGGTGAAAAAATCAGAGTCTTGCCAAAATGTAACCATGGTTTCCATGTAATGTGTATTGATACATGGTTGTTGGCTCACTCTTCTTGCCCAACTTGTAGACAGTCATTACTGGAGCAACCAACAACAGCAACAAGTTCTGATGCAGCTGATGTGGATTCTGAAACCAGGCATAATCCTGGAAATGCACCAGGGCTACAAGGTGATGTTTCTATAACTGTTGATGAGGTGGGTTAAGGCTAGATAGTTTGAAAATATTCCTCTAAATGATTGAATAAATAAGAAAAAGAAAAAGGGTTTTTTTGTTTGGGGGGTGTCGATTATTTGCCAAGTTAGGTTGTAACGAAAGGTTCCTGAGGCTCTTCTGTGAATGTATATACAAACTTGGATTTGGTTGGAGATAAATATGGTTCTTAAAGGTTAATTTCTTGTTTGGGCTATTCAATTCATTTAAGATTTTGTCAAGATCTAGAGGATTACTGAATTGAAATAACATTGATTTGTTCAAGTACAAGAATTAGCTTTAAAACTTTTCACTTATTCTTTTTCATAGCCATGTCATTAAGTTTGAAGTAGAGATCTGCCTTCTAAAAGTGAAGAGTGAAAAGGGTTAAAAAAATAGAGAAACAGATTTAACAAAGCAGATAGAATTGCCTTTGCCTCCAGTGTGGGTGATGATTGTTTCTAGAAGCAAGTTAAACTTAAAAAAATTCTCTTTCTTTAAGCTAGAAGTTGTGTTTTTGATACATCTAGTATCTGCTGCCTTCTGGTGTGCACAATGATTTTTCAAGTTTTTTCAGTTTAGTCCCCTAAATTTGGCTCTTAGCTTCACCAATTGTCTGACAACTCACTGGTTCTGATTCCTCTGTTTAAGAGACAGAAAACATGCAAGTAAAGATATCCTGTATTCAGTGCATTTCTTGAAGCATCCATGCAACTTGATGCTATATTATATACCCTTTTGTAAGATGCATCTAGGCCTCATTGCATATCACATACTATGTCTTGTCATGCTGATTCCTCTATGGTTTTGATCCATTTTCATCTCACAATAAGAAAGGATGATATGTATTGGAAAACAAAGTTTATTACTAAGATCTCACGTCTACTAAGTATGAGATTAACGAGTGTTTTATTAACCCTCGAGCATTTTCTCGTTACAATTTGGTTTTAAGGGTGAGTTTAACCTAATGGGTTTATGATAATCGATAGTAAACATCACATAGAGCATACCCTCGTAGTGGATGAGGACCTGGGGAGGGTGTTGCTTTCCACCCTTGTACCAGATTCGTGAAGTTACTGGGAGTCTAAAAGTATTTGCGTCCTTTTATTGGTTTCATTTGAGTATGCAAATTTGGCTACTTATAGCAGTAAAGTGAATAGGGAAAGTATTTTCTGAAAGCAATTCCAAAGGAAGCAACATCTTGTGGTGATAGAATGGTATCTTAAACTCTTTGTAAATAATGCAACTTTAATCTCTTCCTTTCACTTTGTGGGTCTACTCTTGCCCACCCAATTCACAAATTCACTCATTCATTCATGATTACCTCAAGAAAAAATTGTCTAAAGTAATGAAATTCGATGAAGACATCATCTTTAAAAGCATCATTCATCATTGGACCACCCTTTTTCTTGTACCTCTTTGATTGATATCTATCACACTTAGATTTTTTTTTTTTTTTTTTTTTTTCATTCACTTCAAAAGATTGAAGCAAGGAATTTTTTGTGGTGAGGAGGTCAAGTTCACAATATGCCCATTTGCTCCACTAATTTATATGGGTATTTTAGCCACTAAATTTTCATCGTACTGCATGGATGTACCCACCATTTGTACATAGTTTTGTCATGGATTTGTCAAGCTTGTGGTTAGAAAGAAGTTCCTTTATGATCATGGAGGATTTGCCTTAACCACATGATCTCCATGTGCCAATCCTTTCTTTCCACGCAATTCTCTTTTTTATATGTTAAAAGTTTACATTCACACAATTCTCAGGAGGATAAACATGTCCCTATCACATATCAATCACAGAGAAAAAGAAAGAAAACTTTTTCCCATTATTAATCAAAGTTTTCTAATCTAATCATCATACCATTACAGTAATTAAGTTAATGGCTCAAATAAGATAATATTGATGCTGTATTACTTGGTGGATACCATCATTTTTGGCGGCCTGCCTTTAAACTGATGGATTTAACTTTCACTGTTTCATGTTTATATTAATTGTTAATTATTGTTTCTGCAGTGATTATGTAGTATCTTATAGTTTGCACTTTGCTGTACAAATAAAAGGGTAGCAACACATTGGCAATATATCAGTACCTGGGATCTGAAGATATGCATTGGCTGAAATGACAGAACAAAATTACTTCAACTTTTAATTAAAGGAAGATGGGGAGGAGTGGGCGGAGGATTTGGTGCCGAAGAATAAGTATTTTTTAAGCTAATTGAGATTAGGTGGGATCAGGTACCATAATCAATATTCTCTATCACTTGTTCTCTTCAGTTTGATTCTAAAGTTTAACCATCTGTATGTCATTTTTTCTCAATTATAGTGTTTGTGAAAAGACCCCAAATACATCTCTTGCTCTCATTTGGTATCTAAAACCCTTCTGTACCCCAGTGTCCTTTTGTCATATCCAGACACCCACATGCCCCCTTTATTAGACCCTCCATACTCAGCTCAAAACATTAAGAAACTCTCTCTCTCTCTCTCTCTCTCTCTCTCTCTGTCTCTCTCTCTCTCTCTCTCTCTCTCTTTGCATCTCCAAATTTGGTTTTCTTGTATCTTCTAGTATAGATTTGCAAGCACAAAAATTTCCCAAAACTTTTTCTTTATTAACATGTAATTTTCTTCCATGTTTGGTGTTGCTTTGGGATAATTAAAGATTCATTTATTTGAGCTTGTGAGCAACTTTTTGTAAACATCACACTTTCAAACTCTGATACTATTAAATCTTTTGCTTTTCTAATCCTAGCCTCCTACCTAGATGATGCCTATTTCTTTTTTTTGTTTGTTTGTTTATTGAGGTTTTTATGTAGGTAAAACCTAACAGAAGTTTTCATAACTTAGAACCACATTCATCTTTCTTTCTCTTTAATTGAGAACAGAACAAGAAGCAGAAGAGAGAAACCAGGTTCAAGCTCAGACTTTTTAGTTTTGTTTGTTCCTTAAGGTTCAAGCAAAAAGTGGCCTCCAAGGTGAAGCAAATAAGTAAAGGCTTTACTCAATACATGAGTGTCATGAATTCTCTTCTTTCAATATCTTTTGTGGTCCGATTCATTGAAGATAACAACTAAACTGATCAAGAAGCAAACTTAGTCAACTGTGATCAAGCAATGGAGAGACTTGATCATCCTCATCGTCTTCATCGTCTACTTCTCGATACACCAAGCACATCAGCAAATAATGGAACTACCAGGACTCGCAATTCTTACACAAATGAAGCCAATTTTGACACCAACATGGTGATCATACTGGCAGCTTTATTATGCGCCTTAATTTGTGCTCTAGGACTGAACTCGATCGTTCGTTGTGCTCTTCGTTGTAGCAGAAGGTTTGCTTTCGAGACCCCGGATGAAACTGCAGCACGTTTAGCAGCCACAGGGCTTAAAAAGAGTGCATTGCGCCAGATTCCAGTTGCAGTTTATGGCACTGCAGGGATAAAGATTAAAGCTACAGATTGTACAATTTGTCTTGGAGACTTCATGGATGGTGAAAAAATCAGAGTCTTGCCAAAATGTAACCATGGTTTCCATGTAATGTGTATTGATACATGGTTGTTGGCTCACTCTTCTTGCCCAACTTGTAGACAGTCATTACTGGAGCAACCAACAACAGCAACAAGTTCTGATGCAGCTGATGTGGATTCTGAAACCAGGCATAATCCTGGAAATGCACCAGGGCTACAAGGTGATGTTTCTATAACTGTTGATGAGGTGGGTTAAGGCTAGATAGTTTGAAAATATTCCTCTAAATGATTGAATAAATAAGAAAAAGAAAAAGGGTTTTTTTGTTTGGGGGGTGTCGATTATTTGCCAAGTTAGGTTGTAACGAAAGGTTCCTGAGGCTCTTCTGTGAATGTATATACAAACTTGGATTTGGTTGGAGATAAATATGGTTCTTAAAGGTTAATTTCTTGTTTGGGCTATTCAATTCATTTAAGATTTTGTCAAGATCTAGAGGATTACTGAATTGAAATAACATTGATTTGTTCAAGTACAAGAATTAGCTTTAAAACTTTTCACTTATTCTTTTTCATAGCCATGTCATTAAGTTTGAAGTAGAGATCTGCCTTCTAAAAGTGAAGAGTGAAAAGGGTTAAAAAAATAGAGAAACAGATTTAACAAAGCAGATAGAATTGCCTTTGCCTCCAGTGTGGGTGATGATTGTTTCTAGAAGCAAGTTAAACTTAAAAAAATTCTCTTTCTTTAAGCTAGAAGTTGTGTTTTTGATACATCTAGTATCTGCTGCCTTCTGGTGTGCACAATGATTTTTCAAGTTTTTTCAGTTTAGTCCCCTAAATTTGGCTCTTAGCTTCACCAATTGTCTGACAACTCACTGGTTCTGATTCCTCTGTTTAAGAGACAGAAAACATGCAAGTAAAGATATCCTGTATTCAGTGCATTTCTTGAAGCATCCATGCAACTTGATGCTATATTATATACCCTTTTGTAAGATGCATCTAGGCCTCATTGCATATCACATACTATGTCTTGTCATGCTGATTCCTCTATGGTTTTGATCCATTTTCATCTCACAATAAGAAAGGATGATATGTATTGGAAAACAAAGTTTATTACTAAGATCTCACGTCTACTAAGTATGAGATTAACGAGTGTTTTATTAACCCTCGAGCATTTTCTCGTTACAATTTGGTTTTAAGGGTGAGTTTAACCTAATGGGTTTATGATAATCGATAGTAAACATCACATAGAGCATACCCTCGTAGTGGATGAGGACCTGGGGAGGGTGTTGCTTTCCACCCTTGTACCAGATTCGTGAAGTTACTGGGAGTCTAAAAGTATTTGCGTCCTTTTATTGGTTTCATTTGAGTATGCAAATTTGGCTACTTATAGCAGTAAAGTGAATAGGGAAAGTATTTTCTGAAAGCAATTCCAAAGGAAGCAACATCTTGTGGTGATAGAATGGTATCTTAAACTCTTTGTAAATAATGCAACTTTAATCTCTTCCTTTCACTTTGTGGGTCTACTCTTGCCCACCCAATTCACAAATTCACTCATTCATTCATGATTACCTCAAGAAAAAATTGTCTAAAGTAATGAAATTCGATGAAGACATCATCTTTAAAAGCATCATTCATCATTGGACCACCCTTTTTCTTGTACCTCTTTGATTGATATCTATCACACTTAGATTTTTTTTTTTTTTTTTTTTTTTCATTCACTTCAAAAGATTGAAGCAAGGAATTTTTTGTGGTGAGGAGGTCAAGTTCACAATATGCCCATTTGCTCCACTAATTTATATGGGTATTTTAGCCACTAAATTTTCATCGTACTGCATGGATGTACCCACCATTTGTACATAGTTTTGTCATGGATTTATCAAGCTTGTGGTTAGAAATAGAAAAAGAGCATTTGGGATTGGGAGAATTTTTGGTTTTGAGCTTCAGCTAAGGCCAATGGGGAATCTTGTCAGTTGCCTTAATAGGTAGGCACATTTGTGTTGTCACTATTGCTTGTATGGCTTTAAAGTTTAAGCCATATATTAAAGATTTTGAAAATATACTAATATTTTGGCTCTTAACCGGGTGGCTGGTGGTTAGTTAGAACTCTTGGATGTATTATTCAAAAGGTACTGAGTTCGATCCACTTAGGTTACTAATAGGGGTGGCCACTAAGGGGGATTTACTCGGTTGTCAACTTTAGAGTCTCAAAAGATTAGTTGAAATGCATGCAAACTGGTCCAAATAACCCTGATCACCCAAAAAAATAAAAAATAAAAATAAAAATAAAAGATATGGCTCTTACCTCTGTATAGCGCCCACCCATCATGTTGTACTTTGACTTCACAAAACTTAGATTTGAAGGCTCCGTTTGGTTCAAAATTTTGGGTTTTTGGGAAAAATTTTTTGAAAAAAGTTAAAAAAAAGTTGAATTGGGCGGGTATTACGATGTAGGAATTACAAAATAATAAAATACTCTCTATGTTTATTTATTTATAAAAACACCCTTATAATAAAATATTAAAAGTTAACAAAAACACCCCCAACCAACCCTCAAACACGGACAGCCGGCCACCACCACCGGAGGGTGGTCGGAGTCCCCGTATCAGTGCATGACCGGCTAGATCTTGCCGGTCGTGTGCCGATATGGCCTTTTCCGACCATATCCACGGTGGATCTAGCCGGTAAAGGCCAGATCTGGCCGTATTTGTTGTCAACGACGGTCAACAAACGGTCGTCGTTGATGGTCAACGACAACCGTTTGTTGGCCGTCGTTACCGGCTATTACGGCCAAAGATCTGGCCGTTAATGGCCTTAGATCTGACCTTTTCCGGCCAGATCCACTGTGGATCTGGTCGAAAAAGGCTAGATCGGCTCACTACCGGCTAGATTCAGCCGGTAGTGCGCCATCCTAACAGATTCCGACCATTTTCTGGTAGTGGTGGCCGGAATCTGGTAAATGTGGATTACTGGGGTGTTTTTGTAATTTTTAAAAAAATATTTAGGGGTATTTAATTAAATTATCAAATTTAAGGGGTTTAAAAAAGGTTGAATAATATTGGGAGTAGTATTCCCAAAAATCAGAGTTTTTGGGTATTTTACTGTTTAACTTTTTTGGGAATTCTAAAAGTAGTATTCCCAAAACTGAAACAAGGAAGCCAAATTTATTTGTACTGAAACAAGGAAGCCAAATTTATTTGTTTTTAATTATGTCATACTTATGATTTCATTGCATCATCCATTCGCAGTCTTCTTGAAATTTTATAATTAATAAAAAGTAATATCTCAAATTTTTCATCCAGAGTTGGAAGCGATTGTCACATTATAATTGCATGGTTGTTAAATCGTGTATCGTATCATATATCAAAAATCTAATTTTTTGAATTGTATATCACGTATCATATCGTATTATAAGGTACGCTTTTTTCAAAAAAATTAATATAATAAACTTTTTTTCTAAAAATCAATATCATCCCCAAAATTAATTAACGAATTTTGTGATATTATTGACTTTAAATTATAGTATTACATAATTAAAACTAATCACAAAATTAAGAATGTATATCATTTCTAAGATCAATGTCAATACATATATCTCCATTTGTGTTATTATTATTAGCAAAATGGGCAACACATCTTCCTCTTCACTTTCTCCAGGCAAAATGGGTAAATTTGGGTAAGTTTCAGTAAACTGGGGTTGGGTGACTCAGATTCGACCTAAAATTTTTTTTAGGCCTTTGGCCCAAATTAATAAAGTCGTATCGATATTTTTAAGAATACGAACAGATGTGCATCATACTGTAGAATATATATCAACATATCAAAAGATTTAGGATACACTCTCTGATAAGTATCATTAGCGACTCGTATCTAATCGTATTGTAAAAATGTGTCGCATATCGTAGGATACTAATAACCATGTACAATTGTGCAAGACAAAGCATTGGTTGTGGAATGGGCCTCAGCCCATACATAGAGCTTTCTCAAGAGTAAGCCCATTTGAGTTCGATTGGGCTAAGAATTTGTTCTTGTTTTTAGATGGGCTGAATTGGGCTGTTCTAGATAGTAAGTCTACCAGCCTTCTAAATTCATACAAATTCCTTAACCGAAAATATGCAAATAATAAGACTAAATTGAGGAATTGTGAACATTTCAAAACAAGCTCAAGCTGAAACAGTTCTTATTTATAATGAAATTTTACAAAGTAAAAAAGCATAACAATTAACAAGCATACTCATTCAATTATCAATTTCCAATGATCCCACAAAACCAGAAGAGCCAACAGTGAAGAAGAAGCTCTGTTTATTATCAGAAACCATTTAGCTTCTTCATTTTGATAGCTCAGCCGAGAGGTTATTAGCCAGGCAGGATATGGTTGTAGCAGACACTCCCCTTGATCCACCCAAGTACCATTTCTTGATCATCTTAACCACGTTTGCATTCTCCACTGTGATTTTTGACTCTTTGCCTTCACTTTCAAAAGCAATCTGCACCAAAAAAGTTACCAATAAGGGTCAATATATAAACATGGTCGTCGTCATCAAGATATTGGTTCTTGAGATTGATTAATACGTACCTCAGCTGTGGGAGCAGTCGCAGGGAAATGGAATGTGATGACGGTATCTTTCTTGAAATATTTAGATTGGAAGAATTCAACAATTTTCTCCAAGGCTGCTTCTTCCTCATCTTCATATTTGTCATCATCTACCAATCTGTCCCTCACAGCACTCTCCAGTTGCACTCCATATTGTGACCCTTTAATCTCCTTGATCACTACAACTCTCAATAATTTCTCCACAGGAGCTGCAAATATAATTCAAGAAAAGATTTATGATCGATTTGTTATTATGCAAGTCAGAGTCTGCTGATCGCTATTGAAATATAAATTACCAGAAACAAGGGCCTCAAAAAAGTCATCATCTTCAGCTAGAGAACTTCCAGCTTTCCCCTTCCATTGTTGCAAGTGACTCAAAACCTCAGGGTCAAGGTAAACACCGATTGCTGTGAACTTAATTTGCAAAAAGTGTATCTCAATATCTGTGATTCCTGTTGCAGCCCCACAAAGGCAAAAATTGAAATAAGACACTTTCGAATCAAATCAAATATGAATCATCTTAATATAGTTTCCCTCAAGATGACTTACCATGACCAAGAAGATTTAATGGCTTAGCCTTTGTGATCTGAGAAGGAAAAGGGATTTCATCCACCTTTACTACTTCGGTAGTCACTGCATATTTTATTGCACACAATCAGAATTAAGTCATAGAAGCTAGAACAAACAGATTATCATGTTACAACTATAAGATAGAGAAGCACTTACTGATCAATTTTCTGGGGAATTCTTTGTGGAATAGATCTGGGATGATGCAAAAATTTTCGAAGTAAAATTAAAGGTGTAGCTGATATTAAAGCCTTTGTGATGCTATGCCATCTAACAATCTCATCTTTTTATCATTTTTTAAGGTGGTAGTTGGGGATCGTGATGCAGCTGCCTTTTAAGATATTTATTCAACTTTTACCATTAATTGACCAACTAGTCCTTGTCCTTTCCCAATTTCATATTTATAAGCTGTCTGAGAGCCTCCACCTTACCAATTAGTTGCTTATAATATCAGTTGCTTGCTCAGTTTGGTCTCCTTTGTCTGCCAAAGAAGAATAAACGATCTTTTTCCCACCCAAGGTTTGCCTTAATGACACTTTCCCACCTAAGAAGTTTCAAAATACTATTTTTTCACCCAAATTTTATATTCCGTTATTACCCAAAGTCGATTCAGACAACAAAATTTCTCTTCGTAACTACCATTTGAACCTCCAGTCTCCTCTATACAAAATCTCTCTCACTATAGCACCTAATTTCTCACCGATTGCTAGTCACCGCAAAGTTAGAGCTTCCTCTTTTTAGCTGATTTTCGGTTGTGAATATTCAGTCGGTCACCATCATTTGATCCACCAATCTCTACTTTATAAAACCTCATACCCTTGCTCATGGTAACTTGTCAAACGCTGACTGAGAAAGTAAAGTATATTTTACTATTTTAGGTATTAAAGGAATATAAACATTGGGTGGGAAAGTGTCATTAAGGCAAATCTTGGGTGGGAAAATGTTGTTTACTCGCGAAGGAATTGGTCGACTAATATTTTTGATTATTTCAACAACTGGGTTCTGATATATATTATTAAAGAACAAATTAAACAGAAAGATACAATAAAAAAATAAATTAATCAATGTATAAGGGCTATAATTTAGTATATAGTATTGATATGTTAAATGTAACTACACAGAAACATCCATCAATGAAAGGCCATAGATTCCTCAACATTAATGGAGCTGAGAATTTGGTTTGGTGTATGGCTGAAAATTACTGTTTGAAGAGCTTATAGATTCAGCTACTCACGTTCATAGAAGTTAGGTGGTAACTACCACACAACAAACCTACCACATATATTTCTAAATCAAACATTATCTTTTCTCTGGCGTGAAATATTCAACAAACTTGAATAGCAAAGTACAGTAGAAAGCCAGAATTTACATTTGAATTGAATAATGGAACAGTTCACTTACCTACCCTCAAAGAGAAAGTGGATAATATAATTACTCAAACGTTTTTTCTTTTCATTAACCATCGAACACAAGCTTATATAAACTGAAATAAAAATTCCAGATCAGGAGAGAATCTTGAACCATTCGAATTGACATATTGATTGTGTTATTTGTTTTTCTGTAATCCAATGATGTAAACATTTGTTAGTAAACAAGACAAGAAACGTCACCATATATATAGGCATAAACTAAAACAAGGCTGGATTCAGGCTGAAACCTGAGAAATTAAAGGGTTTGTATTCATTGCAAGTTAAAATTGTTTCAAGGACCAGCCCTTCATGGGAACGTTTTATTTGGACAGTGTAGGGATTTTCCATTGGGATTCTTGTTATGTCCAACACAGTTATCATTGAGCCAATCACTTGCAGTCTATTCATCAAAGTAAATGACTTGTGGCACTATTTTCCACCGAAAAAGAAACTTGTCGTTTAAGAATTAAATCCATAAGTGATTTGTCGTTCATCTCCAAACAGCAACCAACTTGTTGGTCCCTCTGAGTTAAAGCTAGAGAATGAAGGAACTATGCATCAAAAGTTATATTTTTCAATCTTTTCCAAATGTTATCAGATGTTTCTTTAAGCTATAAATTTGCTTGATACATAGAATATTATGCAAAGTTCAACCCCCTTTTCATTATTTATTTATGAAGTTTACATTTTCTTTCATTAATGTCAATAAATCATATATGACGAAACATCATAGTCTTGAATTATTTCTGCACCATACCTGCAGAATACATGAACAATCAACTGCCTCAACAGGCCTTTGCTTCCCTTTTGTCCTGTATCCATGGACTAATAAGATTGAAAGAGTTGCTTGTTATCTTTATCTTGTTGCATGCCGAGACAAATGTCAACATCATTACTGTTAAATTTAATCAAATTCTAATTAGATTTATAGAGCCAAACTTTCTGTGCATGTACAAGTACTCACATTTTGGTGTTCCTCAACTTTCTACCTTATGATCCTGAGATGAGATAATTCAAGCTATTTGGTTGCTCTTATCATTCATTTGATTTTACATTCTGATTGTTCTAAGCTTTACAGTCCTTCTACAAACAAGAAACCCTGGAGTTCCTTACTGTTTATGAATCTACATTGCCATTGATAACCATTGCTCTTTTAACACTCGTTGCCATTGTTGCTGGGTACTTGAAACACAAATGCTCATGGTGTCTTGGCAGAAAACTTCCACCAGGGTCGTTAGGATTTCCACTTGTTGGAGAATCCATATGTTTTGTGAGAGCACAGAAGCAAAACAAGACTGATGAATGGATTCAGAGCCGCATCAACAAGTTTGGACCAGTATTCAAAACCTCACTGCTGGGTTAAAAAAACGGTGGTTTTGACAGGCCAAGCTGGCAATCGGTTTGTGTTCAGTGGAGGTGATAATGGTATATCCGACAACCAACCAAGCAGTGCCGTCAAAATATTTGGAAAATACAGCCTCTTTGATATGTCTGGACAGCGGCACAAGCTTATTAGGGGTGCCATTGCAAGCTTTCTAAAACCTGAAAGTATTCAGAGATATTTGCATCTGTTATACCTAAGTAGCAGAACTGATTTATCACACAACAGAATCAAATCAAGAAACACAAGATCACCACAAAAACAAACACACAGAACAAGCCACGATTTACCGTGGTTCACTTATCCTTTTATGGATAAGCTACATCCACGTTGAGCTCAAGAAAGGTATGAGCTCGCTGCACTACGATTACCAGAAGAATAGTCAAGATTACACAGATTCAACACTCACCAGATCTACCCGTTTTACAACAGCACTCAGCCTTACAAGATACCCTATGGATATCCCAAACCCGAGAGAACAACACTCTCACCTGAATGATTAAAGCCCCTAATCACTCGACTGATTACTCTCAATCTGGAATTGAATCTTAACCCTAACACAGAGAAAATAGCCGACTCAAAGAATAACCCTAGTCCCTTTTNTGTAATTCATCAAAATAAAAACTTTACACTAGGTATATAATCCTTGTACCAGGGATTACATACAGCTGCCTGAATCCGTTGAAGTTCTAAATCAAGATGTGGTGTTCGGATTTTGTTTTCATGAGATAACAAAGGAATACAAATTGATTAAGTTTATATATGGTAGGGTTTCACGTAGACCTCTTGGTCCTTTCCGCTATATTGGCAGGATGTTTGCTCCCAAATCAGAAGATCGGATTTTAGGTACTCTAAGCAGTCCTGCCTGGAGAAGTTTGTAGAGATACCATACCGTTTGTGTCAAGATACATCACAAGTCCTAGTAAGTGGAAGACTTCATGGAGCACTTGGCCATAAATATATCGTCCTGGTTCCTCACTCATCACATTTGACTTAGCAGACGAGCAATTCCAAGTTGTCTCAAAACCTAAATGTGGTGAGTTATACACCTACAATTTTGATTTGGTGGCTTTAGGAGGTTTCCTTTCTAAAGTTTTCTATCGCAGTTATGAGAAACTTCAGATTTGGGTAATGAAGGATTATGATTTGAAGGAGTTCATAATTGGAGGTCAAGTGCCAAGAGGAATGGAACAAAATGTGGGTCAATCCTGTAAGGGTTTAGAGTTATATCGTGACAGCTGATTATTACGAGTGTTATGCCTTATGAAAAAAGATGACATCTTATTTGAGTACAAATGCAGAGCTCTGCTTTCTTATAACCCAAAAAAATGGAATGTTTAGGGTCTACTTGGGAGTTTTATGATAGCGGTTATGAGGGTAAACCATCGTAGCGGTTTTGAGGGTAAACCACCGTAACGGTTTTGAGGGGTTTTTAATAGCGGTTTTTAAAACACCCAACCTGTGCTTGGGAGTTTATTTTCTAACAGTTCTTACACTTTTTTTAAATGATAAATTTACGTAAATGCCCATAAAGTTAAAACACTCTCCCTTTTGCTTAATTAACTTTGATAAATATAAATAATGCCTACATTATTTGTTTTTATTTTCTTTCTCTCCAATCAAACAAGAGTCTCTCTCTGACAGTTATGATTGCTTCAACAAATTCCGTTGTTGGAGGTCATTAGTTTCAATTTGCAGTTGTATTTGGTTTGATGGAATATATTTTTGTTTCTTTCTATTAAGATTTGTAATGAAGCTCTTAAGAATAGAAGTTTGCTTTGTTGATTTCATATGAGGGAAAAAAAAATTCATTTTTCCTTCCAAACTTGCAGACTTTGAACCAGAGTTGCTATGCCTTAACTTTCTCATGCACGGACAAGAGACTTTAAGTAATCGGCGATCAAAATCAGATGGTAGCAGCTGTTATCTGGTACGGCAATGACCACCGAATCATCTGTTTTCAGACACTTTTAAATCCCTTTGATTCTCTTACCATTTGCTTTACTTTCCCATCTACTAAATCCCAAAACCAAACAAAACAAAACCCCAATCTCGCTCTATCTGTTATCCTTTTGTTTTTGTTTTCATTTTAATATCTTTTTCCTTTCTTCAGATCTCAAACTGTTAACTTTCTGTCTCCTAACCCAAACGAAACAAACACAGAAATCTTGCCAATCACAAATTAAACGAGTTATGTGCAGTAAAGGGATTTGTGTGCAGCAAATTAAAACCATTCACTCACAAATTAAAACCATTCACTCACTTCGTGTGCAACAGCAAGAGATTTGTGTGCTAGAGAGAAGTCAATAGCAGCGAGAGAGTTGTGTAGAGCAAAGGGAGTGGAAAGGGGGTTTTTTTAAAATTTTTAAACCAACCAAAATACCCCGATTTGGGGTGTTTTATAAACCTCTCAAAAATACACTACAGTAGTTTTGGAGGGTTTTTAAACCAGTCAAAACTGGCCCATTAAAAATCTGGCAAGTGAGGGTTTTTAAACACCTCAAAACCAGTCTAATTAAAAATCCCCCAA